ATTTAGATTCTTAATTTTTGGTTCTGTTTTCAAATTGGTCTACATTAAGGTCCAAAGGGTCCAAAATTAAACTTAGTTTGATTTTAACAGAAATTGAATTCTTGGGGTTCTTTGATATGCTGAATCTAAACATGTATTTAGATTTTTGATTATGGGCCCAGTTTTCAAGTTGGTCCAAATCTGGGTCCAAAATTAAACTTTGTTTGATTTCAACAAAAATTGAATGTATGGGGTTCTTTGATATGCTGAATCTAACCATGTATTTAGATTTTTGATTTTTGGGCCCCGTTATCAACTTTGTCCACATTGAGGTCAAAAGGGTCCAAAATTAAACTTTGTTTGATTTTATCAAAAATTGAATTCTTGGGGTTCTTTGATATGCTGAATCTAACCATGTATTTAGATTTTGGATATTGGACCATAATAGGTGAATGTCCAATTTAAAATTTTGATGTTCTTACACCACATTCATTCTGTGTCAGAAACCTATGCTGTGTCAAATATTTAATCACAATCCAAATGCAAAGCTGTATCAAGCTTGAATGTTGTGTCCATACTTGCCCCAACTGTTCAGGGTTCGACCTCTGCGGTCGTATCAAGCTGCGCCCTGCGGAGCATTTTATCTAACTTAGTTTGCCTCAACCAAATGTTATGAAACTTATACACAATGCTTATTACTACATAATACAGATTAAGTACGAAATTTGGTGGCGACACTTTTACCATTCTTGAGTTATGTCCATTTATAAACATAAAAATTGCTGAATTTTTCGTTTCCGTTCTCTAATTAAAATCATGTTATCCATGAAAGATGGCACGAAACTCCTTCTTTGGGCATAGTGACACATCTCCTTTTTTTTTTAAATATCTGAAACTTTGAGATTTTTTCATACAATTGAAATCAATTAAAGAGTTCTCCCCCCTGGCCTCAGGTAATTTCAACTTAGTGTTGGACAATTGCACTTGTTCTGGGGTTTCGATTACGGCAGGCAGACCCTCACAATAACTCTGCTGATTAAAAATAAGCATTGTTGAGATGTTTTAAGAAAAAAAGAAATAAGAAAAATTAGATAAAAAAAAAAATCTGTTTTTTTATCAAATCAAAAATGACATTGGATGGATGTTTTTAGAAAATAGTAGGAATCAGAGACATAACATGAATCAACTAGGATGAAATTGACTGTAAATTGAACAAGATTTAATGTTGACAAATGCTCATAAAATGCTTCTATTAAATCAAACATAAAGGAAAATAATTCTTGAAATTCGGGAGTTTCCCAGAGTCGCAACATCGGTCCAAATCAGACGTCTGAAGTTTTTTGTGCAAGATAAGTTATTAAAAATCCTTATGTAAATTTGTGAATACGTTCCATTGCATTTTCAACCATTGAAAAAGATTTTTGCGCAAACAATTTGAACCTGCAAACCACTGCTTCCCTCAAACAATTTTAAAAAACAAAAGTTTATCTAAAATTTATTTTCCAAATTGACACTTTTTTGTCAGCTCTCAAAGACCCAATTATACCGATACCCTCCCCTCCCCTTTCCTCCTCAGCAAATAAAGTTTTTTGTCCTCAAAAGCTACTTATTTGATTGTTAAAGAATGCAATATTAAGGTCAGCTCAATCGATGACAACACTTTTTTTTATCCCTTACACTGCGTTGGCACCATGACTGATAGACAAACTAATTATAAAATTGTGACAAACTGCCGTGTGACTAGTATTAAATGATTGTTTATTGATTTTCTGATTATATGGTGATTTTACAGAGAAATGATGACTAGGGATATAACACGTTATGTTCAAAAAAATATACCAAGAAAATATCCATATTTGAAAGAAAGTCCATAATACAACAATATGTCAAATGGAAAAAAATAATAAGTTTCTGACTCATATATTCCTTGGTCATGGACTTGTAGGGTTTTGAAAAAATTTAAAGTGAAAGGATTATAAAGTTTTGTTAGAAAATTGGTCAATTCAGGTGATTTTTTTTGGTCAGTCATGTTTATTTTTTTGTTAGACATTATAATATTTACATGTAGCTGATTTCAGATGCCAAATTTTGGTAGACATTAAATTTTTAGCTGATTTCAGTATGTTCAGATGCAAATGTTTTGTCAGACATTGGGTCCAAATGTCAACCCAGACAACTATTTTCCACATATCTGGGATTTTTCTATAAAAATCAATCACCAGTCAAATGATATTTAACATTATCAGTTTGTGAATAAGGCATAAACTTTGTGTCAAACAGTATTAAAGATTTTTTTATTGTAAATTCTCTTATTTGTTTGTGGAAAAGGCATTCCCAAAGGGTCAGGAAATGCCCCAACAAATGAATTAAATATCATGAACATAACTAATCTGTGTTTCTTTGATAGAAGTTAAATCCATGTTTCCATGAAGTAAGTCTAATTTCCAAGGGGAAAATGATCACATCTTCATTTTAATGGATCATGTTTCTGCAGGCTTTTGTTAGTTAGAAATTTGTAATTATTGAATTCAATAAATTTTGTTGGAGACGGACATAAAAAATTATTGTTTAACTTGCACAGGATGGAAATACAACTGCATTTAAAGAGAATTATCTCATTACAGATTATTGCATGTTTTAATACTTTTGGTATTTGTTCTAATGAAATTGAACATGTTTCTATATCTCTTAATGATTTAAGAATATTGCGTTGAGCTTGTTTTCATGTGACTAGTCTTCAGAATGCCTGTCACTCAATTTCTCTACATTTTCAATTAAGATTAATAAATTAAAAACGGTTTCTTTGAGTTTAATTTTTTTAGGCTCTGACAGAAGGTCACCCTCTGTGTGATTAAAGATAATGATTAACAATGAAAATGTTGTTTCTATGGTGATGTTTCTACATACCTTCCAAGTGTTCAAGAAAACTGGGGGTCCTGCCTTTAGTATTTATTGTTAATATTTTTACCTTTACTGAACATGCATGAAATAATTGCCCTTGATCTAAAGCAAAGAACAATCAATCAATCTTTTCCATTAGATTTAAATAAACCTTCCTGGATCAGGTACTCTCAGAACTGATGAAAATCTTCAGGTTTCTATGTAATAATGTTCTAGCCTAAATACTATTTATGGTTTGGTTAGACTTTGTAGAAATATAGGTGTACTCCTATATCTGAGTTTGTTATATAATATTATTGGCTTAGGAATCATTGTGGTTTCATAATTGCTTTGAAAGTCATCTTATCTTCAAAATGGAAGAAATAGATTTCCTGAATAAATCTTTTAACCTTGAAAATTGAGATAAAATTCAGGCAGAATTCAGATATTAACCTTTTTATATGCCCGTTTACGGGACATATTATGGTATACCTCTGTCCGTCTGTCCGTCCGTCGTCAACATGTCGGACATTAACTCAAAAACGCTTTAACCAATTTGCATAAAACTTTGGTGAATTGTTTATATCTATTGATGTGAGCTCACTTTTGTTTTTTATAAATTTTAGGTTTTACGTTTCTGAGTTACAGGGTTTTATTCTTAAAAAAAGGGGGATTTTCCAGTTTTAGGACAAAAAAATCAAAAATGCTTTCAGCAGTTCGTATGAAACTATGGTGAATTGTTTATATCTATTAATGTAAGCTCCTACTAAGTATTGCGCAACAGCACAGTGTATTGCACTACAGCAAGAAATCTGTAATTGAATATAAATTCAATTCATATAACCAATTTCAAGTTCTTTGACTACATTTATTCAGAAACCTATAATATGTCAAATATTTAATACAATCCAAATTCAGACCTGTATCAAGCTTGAATATTGTGTCCATTTTTGCCCCAACTGTTCAGGGTTGGACCTCTGCGGGCGTATCCAGCTGCGCTCAGCCAAGCAGTTTTTTTTCATTGAATGGTAACCTTAAATGACGCGATCTATTAATTTACCATTGGTATTGAATTCATGAAAAGATAATTAACAGACAAAACCTATATAACAAGGAAGGAAGATTGGTTTATTGATTTTATAATTCAGTTTTATTACCGTTATATGCGTATTTTTTTGTCAGTGGTAATGAGGTATTAATGAAGTGATTGTAGGCCTTGAAGATTTACATCAGAAGTCTTACAGCTGAACACTTGATCAACAGTTTAACTGAACAGTAGACAGTACTTCAGTACTGACACGATTTATGTCATACCTTTCTTAAATTGACCATTTAGAAATTTAGAAATTATTTGAAAATAAGGTTTTAAATTCCTCAGGTAAAGTGACCTTAGATACATTTTTTGTAGATCTGGTCCTTTTTGGTCAGATAGCTCTTCAACTGTTTCGGTTCTTACACATCCTTGGCTTTCAAATATGAAGGAAGATCAGGAAGAGAGCTTCGGTTGCATAAAATTTATGAAATGTTGGTTTTTGTTTTTTTTGAACTAGTTTACTAGTATCGTACTAGAAAGAGAACTGTGGATTCATTTATTTTCGTGGTTATCAATTAGTGTAGATTTTAGAAATATTGCACTTTTATGGATATTTTATTTTGTGGTTTTGCAAAAAATCTGCATACAAGCTTATAAAAAATTTGTACTTTGTTGAACATTTTGATTTGGTGGTTCATATTTTGCTCATGAAATCCCTGAAAATTGGTATACCTCAAATTAAAATGAATCTATAGTAACTAGTACTAAAAAGAGTAATAACAGGCATTGTATCGGTATTCTCAAAAGTTTGAAATTTGCACCTTACATCTGGTCAATCAAAAGAAAAATTTGTGCTGACCAAAATATAATTTGCCTGGCAGATATATGAGTAGCTTGTAGAAAAAATTAAATAAATTGTAACATTTTGGTTAGGCAATAATATAGCAATACTTGTTTGATCGCAAAAAAATTTGCCTGACATGTCAGGTGGTCAGGCATATTTTTTGGACCTCAGTTGAACTTGCACCAAATCTACAGGACCTCTACTACAATATGTAATAAAGTAATCTTACATGTATGCTTTATTTTTTTCCTTTCTTCCTTTCAGGAAATTGGCAATTTGAAGAAGTTATCTATCCTTGATGTATCTGAGAACCAGCTAGACTACTTACCAGAGGAACTTGGTGGTTTACAATGTTTGACAGATCTGTGTTTATCTCAGAACTGTTTAGAGAATCTTCCTGATGGAATTGGTAAGGTCTATAATAATTGAGGGTCTAGATGGGGATTTTTCTCTATCTATATTTTTTGCCCATTCTACACTTTGCACATTATTCTCTTTTCTGTAAACCCCATCCAGACCCTCGTAATTCCTAGAGCTAGTTGCCAGCTTAAAAGCTTTATAATTTTCTATTTCGGTCACCTACTTTTCTGTCAATTTATAAAAATGTGGCTTGAAACTTGTCTAACCATTGACACCATGCCTTCCGCATGTTAAAATCGACCTGCATGGATCATAACAAAATTTTTCCGATTATCTCAAATGATAAATATGAAATATGCCAATTAGAATTAAATTTACATGACTAGCCTTAAAGGGGTATTAGCTGACTATTTCATTTTCACAATTGAGAAAGTTGACGATATTTAAGAATGAAAAATATATTATTTTAAAGTTGTATGAGCAATGGCACATCTCATAACAGTGTAGATTATTTGCCTATGTCCCCTCTGTCATGGTATATTTACTTTCAAATATATTATTTTTTTTAGGTCGATTGAGAAAGTTGACGATATTTAAGATTGATCAGAACAGACTGCTGAACTTGACCCCAACAATAGGAAAGTGAGTACTAAGTGATTTGAATATAAATGTTACATACTGTTCAGTGTGGTTAGTCTGTGAGTGTTTAGATCAGTGTGTCCAGTGCTGTCCACCTTTTGTTAAAACCTGCCCAATTTGTTTGTCCTGTATGAGATATGTTATTTGCTGTAGGATGGTTAGCAGTAAGCAGTTAGTAAATTTGTAGTTGCTTTATTTGTTTCAAGTTATGAAGTTAAGAAGTCTGAGAAGTTCGGTTTTCTAGTAGGTTCTGTTAGTTTTGAAATAGAAGTCTCTCAGGTCATTACAAAATTAGCATCCCATTAATACTAGTGAATGAAAAGTAAATGCACAACAAATTCAGGGTTAAACTTAGTTAAACACTGTCTAAATGACAGATTAGAAAAATACGAAAGAAATTTGTATTGCTACTGAAAAACACTTGATTCCTGGTAAGAATTAGGCATGGCAATCTCTAGATACAGGGGATAGAAGTTGAGTTGCTATGGCTTATAAAAGTGAAAAAGGATGGAATGTATGTATTAGAAAAGAGAGATTCCATTTTTTAAATTTTCCAATTTATGAAATTTTCCTTCTTGAATATTTTGATATTGTGAACAATTTTATCTGATTGCCATATTTTGTATTTTTCAGTTGTGATAACCTGCAAGAGCTAATAATAACAGAAAATTTACTATCAGTGAGTATATTTTCGTAGATTTAATCACCACAGTAAAACTTGCTTTAACAGTACTTTCAGACCCTCCCAAAAAAAACCAACTAAATCAATTCGCTGTGATAAAATAAAAGGTCACATTTTTTTTGAGTTTACTTCCCATAACTGACTGCTTAATACAGGTTTGACTGTATATAGAACCATTCTCTTCTCAAGACAGTAAAATTTTACAGCACGTCTATACGAATGTGAACACAGCTCTACTAAATTGATATAAAAATTTGATAGATATGATATGATTGCCAATGAGACAACTATCCACCAAAGTTCAAATGAAATGGAAGTAAGCAATTATAGACAACCGTAGTGCCTTCAACAATGAGAAAACCCATACCGTATAGTCTTCTAAAAAAGGCCCTGACATGAAAAATATGAAACAATTCAATTGAGAAAACTAGTTAGCCTGCTAATAAACAAAATCTGTAAAGATAAAAAATATGTAATATGTTAATACTAAAAAATAATTTGTTTATAATTTTTCAGGATTTGCCGATATCAATTGGGAAATTAAAAAGTATGACAGTTTTTAATGTGGACAGAAACAGACTTACAGACATCCCTGTAGAAATTGGTAGATGTCTGCGGCTTAATGTGTTATCATTACGAGACAACAGATTGTTGAGGTTGCCTCAGGAGTTAGGACGATTGGAAGATTTGCATGTCTTAGATGTGTCAGGAAATAGGTATAGAAACAAAACAAAATATTAACAAATTAAATCTATTTTACAAAGTTAATCAGAAAAATTATGCAGAGACTGGGAAAACAAAAAGGGTTCCAATGACAATGCTCACCAGATGTTTGGTATGGACATATATATTATCAGATTCTCATGCAGAACACATATACCTATGTATGTGTTAAACCAATTTTGTGAGAACTGGGGTGAATGAGCTTGACAATGTTAGTATTAAAAAATCTGTCAGTTGTGTGACAATCATTTCTTATTGCAATACATCTTTTCCTTTAACAACAAACACTTAAAAGTCATATTTCTAAAATGATTTAAGTCTCAATATGAAAAAAGTTGCATTTTAGGAGCATTTCTTCACAAAGATAATGTGAAATACTGTAAACCAACTTATTTTCCCAGATACTTTTATTCAGGTTTAGACTTTTCTCGTTGACTTCACAGCAGTTTATTTTCATGATTTCCTCATTTTGTAGTGGATTTCTTATTGAAGAAGATATTGTTTTGTAATACTTGCGTTGATTTATATTCAAAAACTGGCAATCTTTGTCAATTTAAGATTGGAATTGAAAACACCTTATGTCGAGGTCAGTTTGAACTCACAACCTCAGAGTTGACAGGCCACTGATAACTGTAAATAAACTTTTAATCCAATGAGGCATATTTGAATCCTTGAATAACAATTTATCTTCTGATATTATAATTTCTGAGAAACTTTATAGGCTTCCTTTACTGTTAAGTTTAAAAGTGTAAATAGCATTATCTTTATATTTCATTTTTGTTTCAGGTTAGAATATTTACCAATAACTGTAGCTAATTTAAATCTGAAAGCCTTGTGGTTGTCTGAGAACCAGGCAAAACCCATGTTAAAATTCCAGACAGATTTTGACGAGAGGACTGGGCAACAAGTCCTGACATGTTTTCTGTTACCTCAGCAGGATTTCCACACAGAAAGTATGGGTAGGTATTATAGTTTTACATTTTTTTTGTTTTTGCTATGTAAGAATTAACCATTTTTATGCCCCAGTTGTAGCGGAGGGGGCATTAAGTTTAACCCTTGTCCGTCTATACGTCCGTTTTTCTGTACTTCAGTACATCCAGAAATTGTTTCGGTTCTCCAACTTAAGTTAGCCTCAACCAAATGTTTAGAGACTTATTCACAATGCTTACTACCACAAAACACAGATCAATTTTGAATTTGGATGGCGTCACTTTTACTTTTCTAGAGTTATTTCCCTGTACAAATGGAAAAATTGCTGAATTTTTCGTTACTGTTCTCTTACTTAAGTTTGCCTCAATCAAATGTTATGAAACTTATACACAATGCTTATTACCACAAAACTCAGATCAAGTATGAATTTGAGTTGTGTCACTTTTACCGTTCTTGAGTTATGTCCCTTTATAACATTATATGCAAGTGGGGGCATCATCTGTGTCTAATGGACACAGGGATCTCCATGACCTGTTTTATGATGGCGCATCGCCATTGTTAAAATATATACCGCCACCGTAAAAATATCTTCTGCCACCGTAAAATGATCCCTGCATTGTCAAATGATCCCGCCATTGTCAAAATTTGTTATCGTTTCTCCAGCCGCCGCCATTTTTGTTAGCAATTCTAATCAATTGCATGTAATTGCATAACCCTTAGGCTTTTACATGTTTTACTATTATAATCCAAAGGGTCCTCCTGATAACAGTTTTAAGGCCCTGAGGGATGTCTGGCTAAAGATCGCTAATCACTTGTACAGCTAGATCGACACACCTGACAGGAGAACACTTGATCAAGATAGACGATTGAATGCATTATTTAATTACATTTCAGCAAATGCTAATGAAAATTAAGATTAAAAAAATAAATTTTTAAATCCAGTTACAAAGAAAAAATAATACAAGTCAAACATGTGCTTTTATATTGACTTACACAATCAGTCTCCCCCTTTTTAAACGAGTACAAAATAAGACGTAAAACAAAACATAATTTCATGCCAAATAACTCGAGTACAGCAATTATCGATAAAATTGTATCACTTTACATATTTAAAAGTAAATACATGAATATTAACTGCAACTTGAATTGATTTTGATTTGATTTTTGGTGTTTTAACGCCACTTTTAAGCACAGCTTTTGGGCTATTACGTGGCAGCCATTTTTTATTGGTGGATGAAGCCGTAGTGCCCGGAGAAAACCACCGACCTTCGATAGGAAAACTGACAATCCTAGTCAATTAAAGATTGGAGTCGAGTGCACCCGCACGATTGGGGTTTGAACTCAACCTCAGTGTTGACTGGCTAGTGATTACAGTAGTAACTACTTAGACCACTCGGCCACCGAGGCCCCCTAACTGCAACTTGATACTCTGAAGAAATTTTATATCGTAATTCCAAATTCATTTCATAGTTTACAATCAAATTGAAACATCCAGTTTTCCGGTTTACATTCAGAATTGAAAGATGCATGTTGTATAGTATATTACAGAGAAATTTGGTATTTTAAGTCATTAAAAATTTTTAAGTTGTACACATTTGCCCTTCAAATCTTTCTCCCGATTTTTAAGCCCTAAAAAATTACCAAGATAGCAAGAAAACGACATGGGAACCTTAAGGCCAGCTTGTGGTCATTCTTGACTAAGGGGGATGCAGGCTTGGCATTGGAATTGTTACAAATGACAAATATTGGTTATTCTATAATGAAATAAATGTAATGAGGATCAATAAGCAATATATCAGCCTGTTCACCATTCCTTTCGTGGAAATGAAAAAATGAAATACTTTCGATCACGCCAAGCCATAGACGCAGGGTTTTGTCATGATGAAAGTTCCTCCTCATAAATTTTTATCCATGGAGATCCCTGATTCCCCATTTATTTTTCTTAATCCTATGAAAATAAATGTATCAACAGTATTACATGTTATATAACTATATTTTACAGAGAATTTATTACGTGGTAGCACCACAACAGACCAAGACAGTCGACTAAGTGATCATATTGAACGACACAGAGACAGTAAAATCCACTTCGATGTACCAAAAGAAGATGACACAGACACAGAAAGTGAAGGGGTTAGTTTGATCTTGATTGTACTGTTATAAAATATACTTTTATCCAAGCATCTGTATTGAGATGGAATGAAGGTCTTTCTTTGAGGGAGCACGAGATATTTCCCCACCATACATACAATTTTTTACAGGTAGATATATTTGGAAAAGCCTGAAGTATGAAAGTCGTACAACACTAAAATTTCAGAGGGTATTTTGAATAGACAGCAAGTTATCTATGCCTTCTTTTCTCTTTTTATGATATTTTATCTTATTTGTAAGTCATCAGCAGTTGTCATCTTCTTAAGTTCTATTTCTGATGGCTGTAGGAACTAAGCTTGTGCTTCAGTCCAGTCTTTTTGTAAATCTGAATATTACTATTGAATGCTAATTATACTACAATAGCAATTTATGAAATTGTTAAATATATAATTTTAGAAAGGTTTAGAAGGTTATTTTTGTTTTGACTCTTGCCTTTTCTTTTTTCCTCCTCAAAGGGTGCAATAAATATGAAGAGAACTTATTATTCATTAGGATGCAATGCAAACTGTATGTGCTTTTAAAATCCTTTCAATTCTCTAATCTGCAAAATAATGCTATGGAGGGCAGCTCCATTATTCAGCAAATTAAAAAGAATTTCTCAAATTTATATATTGTTATTGAGGGTTGGGTGGCTGTCTTCGTGTCAGTAAATAGGAGGAGTTTTCTGTCCTAAAAATCAAGTATTAATTTTATATTTGGTGCTACTAGAAGATGCCCGTGAAATCGCAGTACAATAGGGCAAAGAGTGTGGACACAGTTATAAGATGGACACAGTAAGGATTTTGACACGGTTAATGCATTTAATTCTATTTCTTTAAAGAGATGAAAATGAGGAACATAATGCAAAAGACCCCATTCATCTCGGTCGGAAAATAAAAATATTAAGAAAAGTGTTGCAAAATGTGATTTTCAGTAGTTTTTTACCCTTTAAACTCAATAACCGTATGAGCTACGTAAAATCTGTTGACCTTATCAAAGGGATCAAAATGAGTAACACCGGCAAAAATCCCATCTAAATCGGATGAAAAATAAAATCTAAAACACTTCATCATGAATCAACCCCTCTTGTATCTCAGAAACCGTTGACGCTACTCCAAATCTGTTGACATACTCAGGTTGCAGAATTTTATTAGCAATAAAAAACAAACCCCATTAAAATACGTTGAAAATAAACAATCTGTATATGCAAATATGTGAACAACACTCAAACTGGCCATTTCGCAGGCAGTACGTCGACTGATCATGCGCGAAAGTGTATAAGACACGGATCGATAAAGGTCTTTGAATTTGGATATTTTCTCAAAAATTGGTGTTTTCTGTGGAAAAAAAGATTGTTTCAAAGACAAGTTTAGGAAGTACAAAACACTACATTTATACGTCATATCACAAATATTTCCGACTTTGTATGGTTCAGAGGAGTTGTGGCTCAATGAAATCAGTCTCTTCCTTTAGTAGTATAGAAGACTTTGATGGTAATGCTTCATATCTTCAAATGAACATAAAATGTTTATTTTATTACCAATTACTTAATATTTTTGCATTATCTATATTATAGCATGTTTTGGAATACAAATTAAATGGTTGTTTATGGGTACTGCATGTGAATGTTTCTATGCTTCATTGCATCATTCTATTTTCTACCTTATATATTTTCTGTATATATAGAGCCATTTCCAGAGGCATGATACACCTCATCCTAAAGATCTTAAGAAACGCTTCTTGAAAGGAAAAACATCTATTGATGGCCATGTTATTCCACATCAGGAAAAGAAAAAAGAGGTAATACTAATGAAGCATTTATTTCGTTTAAATACTCCTGAAAAATTGGAACATTATAAAATTGTATATCTATTATACTGTTATATGCAAATGATTCACTGTAGAATTGAATGTGTATTTATGATTTGAAATGTAAGCAAGTAACATTTACATTTTGTTATCAGACTTCATGTGAAAATGTTTTACTGTGTAATGTGTTCAGATTCATTGCTTATCAACTTCCTGCTTACCAAATACTTAAAGCAGGGATATTATCAGTAAGCAGTAGCTCGCAGTTTTACTTGTTCATGCAAGTGATTTCATTTATTTTAATTCAAGTATGTTTCTTTTAGGCCCAGTTTTTGTATTCTAAATCATTAGAATTTTTAGGACATTTTCCATATGAAATTGTGAAAATAAAAATTTTTCTGTTCGTTTTTTTGGGATACACTGTAAAAAGTACTTAAAACGATTTTGTTTTGTTTCAGGATCTAGTTTTCATGCCATCGAGAGACAATGATCCCAGATGGTCTATGACTATTGATGTAGAAAAACCACATATAGAAAAGAAGAGTCCTCAACAATCAGAACATCCACCTGTTATAAAAGGTAAGCTAATGCTTAATTGTCTTTTAACTTAAAATGACAATAAAAATATTAAATGACATTTGCATGATTAAGTGACACACTAATTGTACTAGTGGTCGAGTGGTTCATCCAGCCTGTACCTGGAAATCTTAATTGACTAGGATTTCCAGTTTTCCTACTGAAGGTCATGGTTCTCTCCATTCACTCTTGTTTTCTCAACCCATAAAATTTGACAATCAATACTGCTGAAAGTGGCGTTAACAAACAACAGTGAAATCTACTTCTCCCTACTCTCTCTTAGAAGGAGTAGTCAATTATTCCTCTCCAAAATTGAACCTGATGCTCTGATGGTTTTCAAAAACTGAAATTAATACATTAAACATTAGAAGAAGAGGAACTCTGCATATTCTAAGAAACCAGACACATCATATAGTCAAAATTATGTTCTCCTTCTCGCTTTAACTCCAAAGTTCTTTATACTATAGATTCGTTTATTTTCGTGGGTACCAACTTTCCTGCATTGAAAAGAAATTGTAGTTTCGTGGATACTTACTTTGGTGGTTTTTCATAAGTCTTCTTACAGGCCTGTAGAGAATTTCTATTCATTGAACATTTAAATTCGAAGTTCAGCTTTACCCATGAAATCAACGAAAATTGTTATCCAATGAATCCACAGTATATGATTCTGTAGTATTTAAATGAGATTTTGTATAAAAGAATTTGAAACTTCGGGGACTTGCTCTTGTTGACTAGTTTAATGATTTTTGAAATTTTATTTCAGCTCCAGAATTAGAGGGACCACCTCGATACCATGGACCCACTGATCATCGACACAAGCAGGAGAGTGAGGAGGAAGATGAAAGGGAGCATGCCAAGGAAACACAGCCTCTTATTAAGGAGGTCATTATCTCAGAGGCACCTAAAGTTACTTATGAGGAGCATAATGGTTACTATGACGACCAAGTAGAGGAAGAAACACATGAGAAAAGTGAAACGGAGCATGAGGAGCAGGATCAGGAGAAAGAGGAATATTCCGATTCTGATGAGGTATTTTGACATTTTTGTTAATTAAAGGGGCACTAGCTACGAGATATATAAAAAATCTAAAATATGATTTTTTTTGTTCAATCATTAATGAAAGTGAAATAGTGAAATAATTATTCGTTTTTAGCAGCCACTATGGTTTAATTTTGTCAAAATAAGCGAAGAAACATTGATGATGAATTATTCACTTGCAAGTGAATAATTCGACCTCATTGAATCCATATTCATGTGAACTTCAATTTAACCCCTTAGCTAGAGATGGATAAAGCATGAATTGTGCATGTAAAGTTTTTTAAAGGAAAAGAATGTCAACATTGAAAGTGAAACAAAGGTAAATCATTTGATTGACTGATTCGATCCACAAAAAATCATTCTTATACAAGTTAAAACGATGATAAGCATATATTTTTAATCTATCATATGAAATTAAACAGACTTAGAAAAATCCAATTGCACGAGTTCGCTGAATCTATTTATACCTATATTTATGTTTACATCGCTTATATGGTCTTTAGAGGTCATCTCGATAGTTAATTAGATGGCGTCTAGACTAAAATACACACGAAACGAAGCTTCATATTATCGAGCCCATGCCTGGTAAATTGTTTATTTTAGACTTTTGATAGTTTGGATAAATATTTTACTTTGTTATAAATCAAATATGTGAATTTGAGTCATATCGGTGAACATGAATTTGACAGCTAGTGCCCCTTTCAGGAATTAATGCAATGTTAATGTTAGTACTTGAAATAATGTCTTTGGTTTATCAATTCCGTGTCACATTGTCGTTTTGTGGTTTGATAAAGGTAAAAAGAGCATAAAGAACACAGATATATATATATATGGACAATCTTTTATGGAGTGATGAAAGTTTTCCGCAAATTCTTTGATATCCGCTTTTTGAGTTCATGTTTTTTCCGCCATTTTACTTTTTTTTACCATAGTTTGACTTCCGGGAACGCCATTTCTGCTTTTTTTTGCTTGAGACTAATTTCATCCCTGTTTATGACAGCCTCCTGCTAATGCTAGGTAACATTTATATTGCATCATCAGAACTTGAATACTTAATAAAAAATAAAATATAAATAAGGATCCAACTATCCACTAAAGATCAAAGGCCAGGGATGTAAACAACAACATGTAACTGTAGTGTCGTCAAGAATGAGCAAAACCCATACTATATAGTAAGCTATAAAAGATTTCAGGATAACAAAATAAGAAATTATTAAAAAGAGAAAACCACACATGTGAGACAAAGTAATAAGATAAGGGGATAATCAGTAATGGGAGACAACAAGCAGTGGAAACCACTGGACTACAGGCTTCTTGTTTAAAAGAATGTGGTGGGTTTAACCGTTTTTGTTATAGCTTATTATTTGGAAAGATGGTTTATCATTGAAAAATCTGTTTATAGTCTATTTGCTGACAATTTAACCAATGGAAATGGAAATTTCCAAATTAACAGTAAAAAATGTGGATTCCCTTCCTAGAAAGCTTCTTCAATATCAGATAAACACATGATCTGTTCTCTTCAGGAAAACCAGTACAGAGAAAAAGTTGTTGGATTTGATGTAAAAACGGAAGAAAACACAGAAAGAACAACTGGCCTTCGTCGACGAGACACACCCTATTACAAGAAAAACAAGAGGGTAAATCTGAAGGATGAACAATCTAGGGATAAAGTACTGGAAATACTGGCACAGATTGCTGCAAAGAAGGAAGGAGGAGAAACACAGGTTAGATAGATTTCAAATCTTTCATTCATTTAATTACAAAACCGTACACATGTTTACCAATTTTCTAGCAACCTAAATTTTGAACTTTTTAATTATTCATTCATTGATGATTTAATTACAAAGCTGTACATGTGTTTACCAATTTTCTGGCAACCTAAATTTTGAACTTTTTAATTATTCATTCTTTGATGATTTAATAACAAAGCTGTACATGTGTTTACTAATTTTCTGGCAACCTAAATTTTGAACTTTTTAATTATTCATTCTTTGATGATTTAATTACAAAGTTGTACCTGTGTTTACCAATTTTCTGGCAACCTAAATTTTGAACTTTTTAATTATACCACCGCTTTAAAAACGTGGGGGTATACTGTTTTACCTCTGTCTGTCTGTCCATCCATCCATCCGTCAGTCTGTCCGTCCGTTCCATGAAAATTTTTTGTCACTTTCTCAGGAACTACAAGGATTTCTGAAATTTGGTTTCAGGGTTTATATAAGTCAGCTATACCGTGTGATGCGTTTTCAGATTGATCACTCAACAACTTCCTGTTTACCAAACACTCACATCATTTTACACAACACATCCAAGTTGAAAATTTTCGTCACATTTTTCTCAGGAACTACATTACAAGGATTTCTGAAATTTGGTTTCAGTGTTTATATAAATCAGCTATACCATGTGATGCGTTTTCAGATTCATCACTCAACAACAACATATAGAAGTTTGAAAATTTAGTAATATGTTGTGGATGTACATTTTTAAATGAAAATGTGAACATTTTTAACAGAGTGACAGTGTTGATGGTGAAAACAAGGAACCAGAAATGGAAACAGAGCTAATAAAGATCCAGATAAACAGGCAACCAGGTCAAGGTCTGGGTATCTCCATTGCTGGTGGCAGAGGTTCTACACCATTCAAGGGAGACGATGAGGTCAGTGTTAATGCCTCTTTGTCACTTATTGAAAATTGAGATATTGTTTAAAAATTTGAACAAAAATAATATATATCAATTCAGCATTTGTTCCTTTAGAATGTTTTCTGCCCCAGATAATATTTAAAAAAAATCTTTGATTTATTCTTTTAATATGATAAATAAAATATTATTCATGCAAAAAATTAATATTATGTTAAGGTGTGTATATGTTGAGAGGATTCTTTCCTATGGACACATGTTCTTGTTAGAATATACTTCCTAAGTTCCTATACACTTAAATGTGACATAATTGTTTGAATTTGTTCATAGCTAATTGATGACTTTTTCAGAGTGTTTATTTTATTACTGATTGATGAATTTTTCAGAGTGTGTTTATTTCGAGGGTTTCTGAAGATGGACCTGCAGCAGCTGCTGGTGTCACTGTCGGAGATAAATTACTTTCGGTAAGATTGTAATATTTTTAATCCACAAATTACCTTGTGTACTCATGTTTATAGGCTATTCTTTTTGTTCATCGCCTTATTATACCCCTGCTTTCAAAAAAGGGGGGGATGGGGGGTATACTGTTTTACCTCTGTCTGTCCGTCCGTCCATCAGTTTATCCTTCCAGCCATCCATCAGTCTGTCAATCCATCTGTCCCATGAATATTTTTGTCGCATCTTTCTCAGAAACTACATTACAAGGATTTCTGAAATTTGGTTTCAGGGGTTATATGAGTCGGCTATACCGTGTGATGAGTTTTCAGATTCATCACTTAACAACTTCCTGTTTACCGAACACTTATATCATTTTACACATGACATCCAAGTTGAAAATTTTCGTCATATTTTTCCCGGGAACTACATTACAAGGATTTCTGAAATTTGGTTTCAGTGTTTATATAAGTCAGCTATACCGTGTGATGCGTTTTCAGATTTATCACTCAACAACTTCCTGTTTACCGTCAAGTATTTGGGCTGGGGGTATCATCAGAGAGCAGTAGCTCGCAGTTTCACTTGTTTTGAATGTTTATAGTCTCTTCACATGCAAAAAATTTCAGAATAAAAAAAACCATAAGTCCTCAAAACACTACACAAATGACCCTAAGATTTTCCCAAATGTGACGGCGGGGGCATTAAGTGTACGTACGTCCCAAAATTAGTTTTGGTTCTATAACTTTTAGTTTGCCTCAACCAAATGTTATGAAACTTATACACAATGCTTATTACCACAAAATACAGATCAAGTTCGAATTTGGGTGGTGTCACTTTTGCTCTTCTCGAGTTATGCCCCTTTATAATGTTATATGCAAGCGGGGCCCCATCTGTGTCCCATGGACACATTCTCCATTTATTTAGATTCTAAATGCTTGCTTGAAAATCATTTGTGAATTTAAATTAATCTATTAAATTAAACACTAATGTAGTCACAAGGCTTTTTTGAAATGGGATAACCACTTATTGAGGCAATTTTAGAATTTATTGTACAGAAAAAGAATTTAATACCTCCCATAGTTAAAATTTAGTAGTGCCTTACCTGTGTTCCATGAGTGTATTAATTGATCAACCCTTACATTATTCTACAGGTAAATGGTGTGAATCTGATTGATGCTGACCACTATGATGCAGTAGATGTACTCAAGTCCAGTGGAAATAATATAACAATGGTTCTTGGTAGAGAGAAAATGGTTGAACCTAAGGAAGAGGTACATATAAACATTATCTTTTCAATTGACATCTGAGAGCCATGGTGGTTTTACACATTTGCATTTAAATTAACAGAGATGTTTAATAAGACGGGAACCCATCGACACACAAAAAAAATATTCAGAGGTCAATATTTAAAATAAGGATTTAAAAAAAAAATATGGCAGTCATGGCACGTTATAAGGGAAGCTTCATGGGAGAAACAAAAAAATTATTAGCTACTTGAAAAATCTTTATCACACATGATATAAATATTATTAATAACAACATTCTTTTATGGTTAAGGTTAGATTTGCCTCTGTACCTTAACTGTATCCTCTCTACTGTATAACCTTTCAAAAATGATGCAGACCAGACACCTTTTAAGGCCAAAAAAAAAATTTTTCTGTTTTCTGACTCCCTACCTACCTACCCACCTACACTTACACAATTGATAGATCACCATTAATGTCCAGACATTTTTGGTTAAGCACTGTTTGAGTCCAGAACATTTCCAATATCGTCTTATGTAAAATATTTATAAAAGAAAAAAAAATTCTACCTACTTCTCCCATTCTTTTGTGTTATGAGGCAGGAACCCAGTTTATACATTTTTTTGCATTACCATTAATATTATAGTTCTTATTTGGAAATACATTTGTTTCTATTTTATAAAAGGAACCTAAGGAGGAAGAAGAGGAACCAACAACAGGGTTTGCTACAGTTTCGTTTGAACAAGAACCTGGAACTGAAGTTTATGGAGAGGTATAAGAGTTTTCTTCATAAATCTAGATGAAATTGACAGTTTCTGCTCAAAGTTGGATAAATTAGTCTGTTTCATCACAAATATTAAAGAAAAAGTCAGTTCCTTCACAAATCTGGATAAAATTAGTCAGTTTCTTCACAGACCTAGATTTAATTAGTTTATTCGCAAATCTGGATGAAATAAGTGAGTTTCTTCACAAATCTGGATAAAATTAGTCAGTTTCATCCCAAATCTGAAAGAAATTAGTCAGTTTCATCCCAAATCTGAAAGAAATTAGTCAGTTTCATCACAAATATTAAAAAAATAGTCAGTTTCTTCACAAATCAAGATTGAATTGATAAGTTTCTTCTCAAATCTGGATAAAATTTGTCAGATTTTGATTTAATGAGGCAAAAGTTGTGATAATGTCCCTCCTTTATCTATCATTATTTATGTAAAGTTTTTGGAGTAAATAATGAATTACAGAAAGAGGCAATATGAAGATAGAAAGAAGGTTTTATTCCTTTAAATGTAAACATTTGTTTACAAAATCATATGTATTATGATATAAGAGCATTTATAGTCTTCCAATAAATTTTTAAAAACATTTCAGAAAATTTCGACAACATTACTACGGGATCATACTGGGTTAGGATTCAGTATTGCAGGTGGCCGTGGATCAATACCATTTAAAGGCAATGATCAGGTTTGTGTCTTGACTGGATGCTTATTATTGTATACAGATTGCTTTAAGCAACTGACCGTGTAATTCTATCAGCCTAAAAAGGATGCCTGAAACCTTTAAATTTTTTAAAGACAAACTTTATCATCTTTTACTTTGAGGTAAGCTTTTTTTATGGAAGACATCATGGGTTTGGTAAAATTGCTTTGATACCTGAAATTTAACTATGTTGTATAATCAATGAGCTTGTTTATTGCTAAATATGAAATTGATGTAAGCTTTGAAATGCACGCTGGACACATGCTTTGACATTTGTTTGCTCACAATACTTTCCTCAATCTTATTCTGCTAACAAAATGTTCAGAACCATTAGGAAGGGGAAAATTGATACAGTGCTGAGATATGATGATATTTCATCATAAGTATACAAAATTCAAAATTTGTTAAGTTACTTGATTTTTTCTAAATCTGGTTTGATTTTTATGTAAATATTATGAGAAAATTATGCTCATTTTGCCTTTTCAGTGGTAAAAAAAAGCTATTGGGAGGGCAGGATCCGCTGATGGGCGTTTAAAGGCATCTTTTCGTCAAAACTTCTTCCTAATCAATTTCAATAAAGGATAAAGTAAACAAATGGAAAGTTATTTGAAGTTTGACAGATATGTAATTAATGATTTCTTTCCCCACTGAAGTTTGACAGATATGTAATAATGATTTCTTTCCCCATTGAAGTTTGACAGATATGTAATAATGATTTCTTTCCCCATTGAAGTTTGACAGATATGTAATTAATGATTTCTTTCCCCATTGAAGTTTGACAGATATGTAATTAATGATTTCTTTCCCCACTGAAGTTTGACAGATATGTAATAATGATTTCTTTCCCCATTGAAGTTTGACAGATATGTAATAATGATTTCTTTCCCCACTGAAGTTTGACAGATATGTAATAATGATTTCTTTCCCCACTGAAGTTTGACAGATATGTAATTAATGATTTCTTTCCCCATTGAAGTTTGACAGATATGTAATTAATGATTTCTTTCCCCATTGAAGTTTGACAGATATGTAATAATGATTTCTTTCCCCATTGAAGTTTGACAGATATGTAATAATGATTTCTTTCCCCACTGAAGTTTGACAGATATGTAATTAATGATTTCTTTCCCCATTGAAGTTTGACAGATATGTAATAATGATTTCTTTCCCCATTGAAGTTTGACAGATATGTAATAATGATTTCTTTCCCCATTGAAGTTTGACAGATATGTAATAATGATTTCTTTCCCCACTGAAGTTTGACAGATATGTAATAATGATTTCTTTCCCCACTGAAGTTTGACAGATATGTAATAATGATTTCTTTCCCCACTGAAGTTTGACAGATATGTAATAATGATTTCTTTCCCCACTGAAGTTTGACAGATATGTAATAATGATTTCTTTCCCCACTGAAGTTTGACAGATATGTAATAATGATTTCTTTCCCCATTGAAGTTTGACAGATATGTAATAATGATTTCTTTCCCCACTGAAGTTTGACAGATATGTAATAATGATTTCTTTCCCCACTGAAGTTTGACAGATATGTAATAATGATTTCTTTCCCCATTGAAGTTTGACAGATATGTAATAATGATTTCTTTCCCCACTGAAGTTTGACAGATATGTAATTAATGATTTCTTTCCCCACTGAAGTTTGACAGATATGTAATTAATGATTTCTTTCCCCATTGAAGTTTGACAGATATGTAATAATGATTTCTTTCCCCATTGAAGTTTGACAGATATGTAATAATGATTTCTTTCCCCACTGAAGTTTGACAGATATGTAATTAATGATTTCTTTCCCCACTGAAGTTTGACAGATATGTAATAATGATTTCTTTCCCCATTGAAGTTTGACAGATATGTAATTAATGATTTCTTTCCCCATTGAAGTTTGACAGATATGTAATAATGATTTCTTTCCCCATTGAAGTTTGACAGATATGTAATAATGATTTCTTTCCCCATTGAAGTTTGACAGATATGTAATAATGATTTCTTTCCCCATTGAAGTTTGACAGATATGTAATAATGATTTCTTTCCCCACTGAAGTTTGACAGATATGTAATTAATGATTTCTTTCCCCATTGAAGTTTGACAGATATGTAATTAATGATTTCTTTCCCCATTGAAGTTTGACAGATATATAATAATGATTTCTTTCCCCACTGAAGTTTGACAGATATGTAATTAATGATTTCTTTCCCCATTGAAGTTTGACAGATATGTAATTAATGATTTCTTTCCCCATTGAAGTTTGACAGATATATAATAATGATTTCTTTCCCCATTGAAGTTTGACAGATATGTAATAATGATTTCTTTCCCCATTGAAGTTTGACAGATATGTAATAATGATTTCTTTCCCCATTGAAGTTTGACAGATATATAATAATGATTTCTTTCCCCACTGAAGTTTGACAGATATGTAATTAATGATTTCTTTCCCCATTGAAGTTTGACAGATATGTAATTAATGATTTCTTTCCCCATTGAAGTTTGACAGATATGTAATTAATGATTTCTTTCCCCATTGAAGTTTGACAGATATGTAATTAATGATTTCTTTCCCCATTGAAGTTTGACAGATATATAATAATGATTTCTTTCCCCATTGAAGTTTGACAGATATGTAATTAATGATTTCTTTCCCCATTGAAGTTTGACAGATATGTAATAATGATTTCTTTCCCCACTGAAGTTTGACAGATATGTAATTAATGATTTCTTTCCCCATTGAAGTTTGACAGATATGTAATTAATGATTTCTTTCCCCATTGAAGTTTGACAGATATATAATAATGATTTCTTTCCCCATTGAAGTTTGACAGATATGTAATAATGATTTCTTTCCCCATTGAAGTTTGACAGATATGTAATAATGATTTCTTTCCCCATTGAAGTTTGACAGATATATAATAATGATTTCTTTCCCCACTGAAGTTTGACAGATATGTAATTAATGATTTCTTTCCCCATTGAAGTTTGACAGATATGTAATTAATGATTTCTTTCCCCATTGAAGTTTGACAGATATGTAATTAATGATTTCTTTCCCCATTGAAGTTTGACAGATATGTAATTAATGATTTCTTTCCCCATTGAAGTTTGACAGATATGTTATTAATGATTTCTTTCCCCATTGAAGTTTGACAGATATGTAATAATGATTTCTTTCCCCATTGAAGTTTGACAGATATGTAATTAATGATTTCTTTCCCCACTGAAGTTTGACAGATATGTAATAATGATTTCTTTCCCCATTGAAGTTTGACAGATATGTAATTAATGATTTCTTTCCCCATTGAAGTTTGACAGATATGTAATAATGATTTCTTTCCCCATTGAAGTTTGACAGATATGTAATAATGATTTCTTTCCCCATTGAAGTTTGACAGATATATAATAATGATTTCTTTCCCCATTGAAGTTTGACAGATATGTAATTAATGATTTCTTTCCCCATTGAAGTTTGACAGATATGTAATTAATGATTTCTTTCCCCATTGAAGTTTGACAGATATGTAATTAATGATTTCTTTCCCCATTGAAGTTTGACAGATATATAATAATGATTTCTTTCCCCACTGAAGTTTGACAGATATGTAATTAATGATTTCTTTCCCCATTGAAGTTTGACAGATATGTAATTAATGATTTCTTTCCCCATTGAAGTTTGACAGATATATAATAATGATTTCTTTCCCCACTGAAGTTTGACAGATATGTAATTAATGATTTCTTTCCCCATTGAAGTTTGACAGATATGTAATTAATGATTTCTTTCCCCATTGAAGTTTGACAGATATGTAATAATGATTTCTTTCCCCATTGAAGTTTGACAGATATGTAATAATGATTTCTTTCCCCATTGAAGTTTGACAGATATGTAATAATGATTTCTTTCCCCATTGAAGTTTGACAGATATGTAATAATGATTTCTTTCCCCATTGAAGTTTGACAGATATATAATAATGATTTCTTTCCCCATTGAAGTTTGACAGATATGTAATTAATGATTTCTTTCCCCATTGAAGTTTGACAGATATGTAATTAATGATTTCTTTCCCCATTGAAGTTTGACAGATATGTAATTAATGATTTCTTTCCCCATTGAAGTTTGACAGATATGTAATAATGATTTCTTTCCCCATTGAAGTTTGACAGATATGTAATAATGATTTCTTTCCCCATTGAAGTTTGACAGATATGTAATTAATGATTTCTTTCCCCATTGAAGTTTGACAGATATATAATAATGATTTCTTTCCCCATTGAAGTTTGACAGATATGTAATTAATGATTTCTTTCCCCATTGAAGTTTGACAGATATGTAATTAATGATTTCTTTCCCCATTGAAGTTTGACAGATATGTAATTAATGATTTCTTTCCCCATTGAAGTTTGACAGATATGTAATAATGATTTCTTTCCCCATTGAAGTTTGACAGATATGTAATAATGATTTCTTTCCCCATTGAAGTTTGACAGATATGTAATAATGATTTCTTTCCCCATTGAAGTTTGACAGATATGTAATAATGATTTCTTTCCACACTGCGTCCTACACTCATTCAAATGAAAATGAAGTAAAATTGATAGATTTGAAAATGTGACAAAAAAACTGAAAAGTGGGTGATTTGAAGTTTTACGACTAAGATTGAGGAAAGTATTGAGCTAAAACATTCTATGTTCATTATGCTGTACTTTCATTTTGTTTTGTAAATTTATTTTTCCCCCAGATTTTCATGTGATACACAGTAATAGGTAGATGTTGTATGATTATGTTTTGTATATTACAGGTTTTTAATTACTCAGTCATCAGTTAACTTGTATAAGATTGTATATATTTTTTACATGTATTAAGTTTGACCTTTGAAGGTCATTGAATGGAAGGATGTTGATGTTTTTTCTTCTGTTGAATTTACAGAAAGTTTATTCCTTTCTGGAGGTTGGTAAAGTATTGTTGGCATGGAAACCATTGAATGTATTTAAGTTCCAGACGTTCTAGTTTTACCTGGTTAAATAAATCACTTAATACAAAAGAATTACACGTCTTTTGAATAGGGTACCATACTTATAGACTATCAATGGTTTTTGTCGAGCCTGCGACTTTTGTCGCAGAAAGCTCGACATAGGGATAGCGATCCGGCGGCGGCGGCGGCGGCGGCTACGGCGGCGGCGGCGGCGTTAGCTAACTTCTTAAAAGCTTTATATTTTAGAAGATGGAAGACCTGGATGCTTCATACTTTGTATATGGATGCCTCATGTTACGAAGTTTCCGTCAGTCACATGTCCAATATCCTTGACCTCATTTTCATGGTTCAGTGACTACTTGAAAAAAAAGTTCAGATTTTTTGTAATGTTAAATTCTCTCTTATTATAAGTAATAGGATAACTATATTTGGTATGTGCGTACCTTGCAAGGTCCTCATGCCCGTCAGACAGTTTTCACTTGACCTCGACCTCATTTCATGGATCAGTGAACAAGGTTAAGTTTTCGTGGTCAAGTCCATATCTCAGATACTATAAGCAATAGGTCTAGTATATTCGGTGTATGGAAGGACTGTAAGGTGTACATGTCCAACTGGCAGGTGTCATCTGACCTTGACCTCATTTTCATGGTTCAGTGGTTATAGTTAAGTTTTTGTGTTTTGGTCTGTTTTTCTTATACTGTATGCAATAGGTCTACTATATTTGGTGTATGGAATGATTGTAAGGTGTACATGTCTAGCTGGCAGGTGTCATCTGACCTTGACCTCATTTTCATGGTTCAGTGGTCAAAGTTAAGTTTTTGAGTTTTGGTCTTTTTTTCTAATACTGCATGCAATAGGTCAGCTATATTTGGTGTATGGAATGATTGTAAGGTGTAAATGTCTAGTTGGCAGGTGTCATCTTACCTTGACCTCATTTTCATGGTTCAGTGGTCAAAGTTAAGTTTTTGAGTTTTGGTCTTTTTTTCTAATACTATATGCAATAGTTCAACTATATTTGGTGTATGGAAATATTTTATGATCTATATGTCAGTCACGCAGGTTTTATTTGACCTTGACCTCATTTTCAAGGTTCATTGCTCAGTGTTAAGTTTTTGTGTTTTCGTCTGTTTTTCTTAAACTATAAGCAATAGGTCAACTATATTTGTTGTATGGAAGAATTGTTAGCTGTACATGCCTGCCTAGCATGGTTCATCTGACCTTGACCTCATTTTCATGGTTCATTGGTCAATGTTTAGTTTACTTGGTTAATGTTAAGTTTATGTGACAGTTGTAATAAAGCTTTATATTTAGGACTATCAACATAATATCAATGATTAGTAAAGAAGGCGAGACATTTCAGCGTGTGCACTCTTGTTCAAATGAGAGGGTGTTTCTCAGCTACAATCTAATCGACATGATCGAAGGGTGAAAACCCTGAAATGAGATGTGGCCCAGAAACATCCTCGAGTTTGAAAGACCAATGATGATCTGTTTATCACTATTTTGTCTATGATGTCGTTGATGTTTACATTGACAATGGCATGTGTGCCCTTAGTTTTTACGATAATTTTCTCTAAAGCAAGTAGCACGAATGAAAAATTGTCACAGTAAAGATTAAAGGAAATATTACACAAAATAACAAATTTGTGTTATCCCAATTTTTGAGAGCAGAGGTTTTATTTTTTCCTGTAAAAAAATTATGGGCAGATTTCATATGTTGAAAGTCATATAGGGTTTTCTAGATATTTGTTTCTGTTACCTTTGATTTTTTTTTTTTTGGGGGGGGGGGAGGGGGGACCATAGCATCAACCTGAACCCCCACATTCACTCAAGTTTTTGAGCAAAAGAATAAAGAGACTTTCATATTTGTTCATTTTTTAAAAGCAGTTTGTATCTCTGAACAGTCATAATAGGCAGCACACATGGCATTTTGAACAAACAAATAAAAAAAAGAGATATTTGATATTTATACAGAATAATGGTGTTAATTTAGCCAATATAAATTGGGAAGGTCATTAGACATGTTACTACAGTTATATACAAGTATAAGAATATAATACAAACACAAAAGTTTTCTTTTGATTCAGTTCCATATGACATCATAAATATAAGCTCTTAGTCGTAGTAAGTTTATAGTGCAAAAATCATAAATGGTTTAAATAAATGCTGTTCTTGTTTTCAACGCAAAAGTGGATGGGAGGCACTCAAATTAATGAATTGGATTTTATTAAGAATTTTGTAAGATCTATAAGTTAAATGAAAATTTTATGTTTTTGGTAATTGGGCCTAAAAAAATTGCCTTTCATCCCTCCATGCTTTGAAATCATGAACAGTCAAAATGATCAAGTTAAGAACAGTTTTCTTTAAGGTATATAAAACTATATAACCAGGTAAAACTCGGCCCAATGAGCATGACAATTTTTAACAGAAACTTCTCAGTGTTGTTAAACTAACTTATCTGTCCCACAGAGACCTATAGTCCAACAATATATACTCGACCTCGAAGTCTGTAGATTTAAAGCATCTTGTGTTGAAACAGTTGTTTTTGAAGTTTATTTACCACTCTCGACTTTATGGATGTTTGTTACTTTGATTTTGAGTTTGAACTTTATTTTTTCGTTAGTTTTTAGGATTTTAGAAACGACATTTTGAAGGTCATAAATGACTGAATGTTAGAAGTGTGTAGTTTGTGTGTCATGTATATGTTGTTGTTAAGCTTTAGGTGCATGATATTGGATCAATTCAGAAATTGGAATTTTTGAAAGACTGATTTATTTGAGTATACTGAATTTGGCCATATTTAGGGCCATAGAGTAGCAACATTTCTGAATTGTTCACATTATCATTTAATATTAATATGTAGTATGCTTTAAAATGTATTTGAAATCTGTGAGTAAATTTGATAAAACTATATGTTCCATGTCTGAGGATCTAGTAAGACAGCTGGTGCATGCCTGATGGCTTTTAATCAAAATTAATTATTAGTTGCAAAATGATTAAGAAATAAATCACTTTTTTATTCTATGAGAGATTTCAGAAATGTTACTTAAGATTATAAATAGTTTCAGTAACATGAATGGTCCAATCATGTGTTAAGGGTTTCTTGACCAAAACTAATTTTGATCTTTGACCCTATCACTTTTATCAGTATTCTTCACCATAAACTTTTCAACTCCACCAAACAAAGTTTTTTTGGTGTATTCGAATCACTTTGTCCATCTGTCTGTCTGTGTGCCTGGTAAACACAACTCCTCCTTTACGGCTGGATGGATATTGATGAAACTTTACACAATTGTACAACACTACCTGAGGATGTGAAAAAAGGAATATAATCCTGATCTAACTTTTGGACGAGAAGAGAGTTACCAGACAAGACCGCTTTTGCTGAATAGAGGTGACCTTTACAGGATGTTTGACTGTATTCGGTAATAAATTTAAAGTTTTTTTGGAGAGGCAAAACCCCCAAATAGGTTTCTTTGATTTAAACAAATGAGGAGACCATGAAGTCAAAGAGTCTACAAATTTTGTCTGAAAATATGTATACCTGGTGTTTCAATCTGATATATAGATGTCCGCTATCTTTACAGGCGATTTATATCTCTCGTGTGGTAGATGGAGGTATTGCTCAAAGGGATGGTAAAATTCAGGTTGGCGATAAACTTCTGTCTGTGAGTATATTTTTTAAGCAAGTTTAAAAACCTAATAGGTTGTTATTGTAGGTTTAGGTCAATGTAATTTACTTCAGATAGCTAATGATTTAAGGCAAGTCTTATAAAATTAAGGGGATGTGGTATGATTGCCAATGAGACAACTATCTTGTCTTAATTTTATTGTAGTGCCAAACAGTACATATCTTATTCTTGGAAATCCATGTTTTTCTCCACCGAATGCAACTTATTTACAGTAAATGCAAAAAAAAACAACAAAAAAAACCCAAAACCAAACTTGAAGGTGTTGAAGAGGAGAAATCAAATATACATATTTGAATTTGATGAATCTGCATTAATTTCTGTCAAAAGAACAATAAAATAGACATGCATGTTTTTAGTGTATTTGTATTTGCTTATTGTAAATTCAGAAATTATTGTGAGGCATTTATCATTGCAAATAATGGGACTGAGTGAGTATGGAAATGACAAGAACTCACATTCTGAAATCTGAAATATTATATTTGTATGCCGCTTTTCCTGTAACCGCAATAATTATTCTCAAATTTTTGTCTGTCATGTTGAAATAACAATATGTCTAAATTTACAGTAACTTATTTGTTTTACTATAGATCAACAGTGTAGACATGCAAGATGCCAGACACGATCAGGCTGTTGCTCTGTTGACTGGTGTAGATAATGAAATTCGATTGGTTGTGTATAGGGAGAAAGTTGTCCCCAAGGAGGAAGCTGTGGTGTCACCACCCAGTGGTGAGAAACTGGAGAAAATAACTCAGCCACTAATAAGCTGGCAGCAAACACCTCCCACAACAGGAATTAATGATACATTTTTGATTACTCAATCCCCTGTGGTAGCCTCATCACCAGCAACAATACAGAGTGAAACCTTTACAATGACCCAGTCATCAGTGGTCTCGTCTGGTCCTACTGTTCAACCCATCAGCAACAGTCCAAGTCCATATTCGACTGCAACACCATCTTCATTTACATATCAGTCACAGAAATCTCCGCTTTCACCTCAACAAATTTCACCGCAGGCTACATTGTCACCTCGTCAAGAAACATCGCCATCTGTTAGTCCACGTAATGTGTCAAGTGAATGGTCGACGACACCCACTACTGCTGTTCAACCGCCACGATTTGTATATCCTGGCTTTAAATCACGGACTACATCTAGCAGTAAAACTGTAGAAAGTAAAAACATTGAAAATGAAAGTAGAAATAGTCAAAGTGAAAGTAGGAATATAATGCACGAACAACAAAATAAAACAGTTTCATTTGAAAGGGAGACAATCAAATCAAATCATGTGACTATTAACAGTGGTGATTCTAAGCATGCAATAGATAATATAACAATAGTGAAGGCAGGAGGACCTTTAGGTTTAAGTATTGTAGGAGGAAGTGATTTATCTAGTCATCCATTTGGCGTAGATGAACCTGGAATATTTGTGTCAAAGGTAGGTTCAAATTATTTTAGATGAAAATTAGGCAAACTAGCCAAATATATCCATCTATCCTGATGTTAGTCCGTCTTGTATCAGGTTAAAGTTTTAAATAAATGCTAAATAAGGGTAATGAGTCTACTAATGACTTATATTTTGCGATTAACCAAACATTGAAACTTGAGTGTGAGTGTTACAAAGTGTCCTAAGGAAACATATTAAAATAGTCCTGTTAATTACCATTATCCATCCATTTGTACTATTTACCTTGTCAGCAAAACTTCTTTTAATCAGCTAGATGGATATAGATGAAACTTCACAGTTGTAGAACACTATCAGAGGATGAACATAAAGGAATTTAATCTAGTGCCAATATGAAAAAAAGGGAGAAAATCAAATTTACTTTTTTTCAATATATTTGTAGTATTCCAGGGAGGGAGATGTTCTTTTTTTTACAAGTTAACCATAACTCTACTATTGATATAGTAGCACTACAATATAGGTTTATGGTTTATCATTTTGATTTACCTTTCAATTATTTTTACAGATTAATCCTGATGGTGCAGCATCTAGAACTAACTTAAAAATTGGTGATAGAATTTTATTGGTAAGTATATAGATGATGGAAAAAGGTTGGTGAAGTGAATGTAATGAATGATGTAGACATTTTAACCAAGACACTTAGATTTCCTCTAGAGTAGTCATCTTATCTTATATGTCAAACAGTTAACCAACTTATTCATGTGTAATTTTTTATGCCCCACGTAGGGTCATTATGTTTTTTGGTCTGTGCGTCGGTTCGTCCGTCTGTCCTGCTTCATGTTAAAGTTTTTGGTCAAGGTAGTTTTTGATGAAGTTGAAGTCCAATCAACTTGAAATTTAGTACACATGTTCCCTATAATATGATCTTTCTAATTTTAATGCCAAATTAGAGTTTTGACCCCAATTTCACGGTCCACGAAACATAAAAAATGATAGTGCGAGGGGGGCATCTGTGTACTATGGACACATTCTTGTTTTTCTCTGATTCAGCTGTCATTACGTCAATTTATTTTCACCATTTCCTAACTTTGTCTATATGTGCGTATGAGAAAAGATTCAAGTTTGACATATTTACATACTGAGTGCCAATTGAAATGGTCCCCATGCAAAAGAAGGACAGGGTGGCTCAATAAAAGGAACAGGGTGCCAAGATAACAAGGAATAAGAGCACAGGTCATCATATTTAAAGGGCAGACACTGCACCCTACACAAATTCTAGCTGGAAAATTAGATTTTTATACGACCGCAAAAAAATTTTTGTGGTCGTATACTGGTATGACGTTGGTGTCGTCGTCGTCGTCGTCCGGCGTTGTCCTGCGTCGTCCGAAGACACATTGGTTTTCGCACTCTAACTTTAGTTTAAGTGAATGGATCTCTATGAAATTTTACCACAAGGTTCAATACCACAAAAGGAAGGTTGGGATTGATTTTGGGGGTTATGGTACCAACAGTAAAGGAATTAGGGGCCAAAAATAAGAATTTTTGTAACTTCCAGACATAACTTGTGTGTTAGTGTATGGATCTCTCTGACATTGTACCACAAGGTTCCATAGCACAAAAGGAATGCTGGGATTGATATTGGGGGTAATTGCCTCAAAATTTTAGGAATTAGGGGCCAAAAAAGGGGCAAAAAACAAGCATTTTTCTAGTTTCATGACAATAACTTGTGTGTAAGTGTATGGATCTTTCTGAAATTGTACTACAAGGTTCCATATCACAAAGGGAAAGCTGGAATTGAGTTTGGGGGTAATTGCCGAAACGTTTAGGAATTGGGGGCCAAAAAGGGGCCAAAAATAAGCATTTTTTTAGTTTCCAGACAATAACTTGTGTTCAAGTGTATGGATCTCTCTGAAATTGTACTGCAAGGTACCATACCACAAAGGGAAGGCTGGGATTGATGATGGGGGTAATTGCCTCAATATTTTAGGAATTAGGGGCCAAAAAGGGGCAAAAAACAAGCATTTTTCTGGTTTCAGGACAATAACTTGTGTGTAAGTGTATGGATCTTTCTGAAATTGTACTGCAAGGTTCCATATCACAAAGGGAAAGCTGGGTTTGAGTTTTGAGGTAATTGCCCTAAATGTTTAGGAATTTGGGGCCAAAAAGGGGCCAAAAAACACATTTTTCTAGTTTCCAGACAATAACTTGTGTTCAAGTGTATGGATCTCTCTGAAATTGTACTGCAAGGTACCATACCACAAAGGGAAGGCTGGGATTAATTTGGGGGTGATGAATCATAAGGGGGTTTAAAAAATTTGGGGGGGGGATTTTTTTTTTTCCTTTTTTTTCTTTTTTTCCTTTTTTTTTTTTTTAAATTTTCCGTTTTAAGTTGGTTATTTCTGATTTATATTTAAAAGCAAATAATAATGATATGGTAGGAGATACACACCAAACAGGATGTGTAAATTATTATATAATAAGTATTGTGCAATAGCAAGAAATTTTCAATTGCACAGTATTGCACAATAGCAAGAAATCTTCAATTGCACAGTATTGCGCAATAGCAAGAAATCTTCAATTGCACAGTATTGCGCAATAGCAAGAAATATGCAATAGCACAGTATTGAGCAATAGCAAGAAATTGTCAATTGTACAGTATTGCGCAATAGCAAGAAATATTTAATTGCAGAGTATTGTGCAAAAGAAGATACTTCATATAAATTGCTTATTTCTTGACCAATTTCAATGGGGTTTTATTCTTGAATTCTTGGGGTTCTTTAATATGCTGAATCTAACAGTGTATTTAGTTTTTGGATTTTGGGCCCCATTTTTAAATTGGTCCACATTGAGGTCCAAAGGGTCCAAAATTAAACTTTGTTTGATTTCATCAAAAATTGAATTATTGGGGTTCTTTGATATGCCGAATCTAACCGTGTATTTAGATTCTTAATTTTTGGTTCCGTTTTCAAATTGGTCTACATTAAGGTCCAAAGGGTCCAAAATTAAACTTAGTTTGATTTTAACAAAAATTGAATTCTTAGAGTTCTTTGATATGCTGAATCTAAACATGTATTTAGATTTTTGATTATGGGCCCAGTTTTCAAGTTGGTCCAAATCGGGGTCCAAAATTAAACTTTGTTTGATTTCAACAAAAATTGAATATATGGGGTTCTTTGATATGCTGAATCTAACCATGTATTTAGATTTTTGATTTTTGGGCCCCGTTATCAACTTTGTCCACATTGAGGTCAAAAGGGTCCAAAATTAAACTTTGTTTGATTTCATCAAAAATTGAATTCTTGGGGTTCTTTGATATGCTGAATCTAACCATGTATTTAGATTTTGGATATTGGACCATAATAGGTGAATGTCCAATTTAAAATTTTTAAGTTCTTAGACCACATTCATTCTGTGTCAGAAACCTATGCCGTTTCAAATATTTAATCACAATCCAAATGCAAAGCTGTATCAAGCTTGAATGTTGTGTCCATACTTGCCCCAACTGTTCAGGGTTCGACCACTGCGGTCGTATCAAGCTGCGCCCTGCAGAGCATTTTATTTATTTTGATTTTTGGTGTTTTAACGCCACTTTTAAGCACCGTTTTTGGGCTAATTCGTGGCGGCCAGTTTTTATTGGTGGAGGAAGCCGGAGTGCCCGGAAAAAACCACGACCTTCGATAGGAAAACTGACAATCCTAGTCAATTAAGATTGGAGTCGAGTGCACCCGCATGAGCGGGGTTCGAATTCACAACCTCAGTGTTGACTGGCTAGTGATTACAGTAGTAACTTCTTAGACCACTCGGTCACTGAGGCCCCTGGAAAATTAGAAGAGCATGTTATTTATATGAAAGATGTTGTAATTTCAATTATCACTATCTATATAAATGATAATATTTCTAACTGCTGTACCAAAATTTCCTCTTCTTTTCAGGTGAATAGTAAAGATGTAACAAAATGTAAACATCAAGAGGCAGTGATGGCATTAATAGCTCCAACCTATGAAATTCATTTAGTTGTACGACACGACCCTCCTCCTAAAGGCTTACAGGTAGGTTCTCTCATGTTTTTCATTACTTTGGATTGATTGCTATTCGTGAGATACCAATGTTCGTGTATTTAGTTGTGTATATTTAAACCGTGAATTTCAAATGTTCAGTGAAGTACAAATATTCTGTAGGCTTGTTTGCAGACTTTTGCAAAACCACAAAATCAAACATCCAAGAAAATACAAATTTTTCTCTACAGTTCAACAGTAGAATTTTTGGACTTGGTGTAAAAATAAATATTTGAAAGTGTGATATACTGTAATGGTGGACAAATAGGGACAAGGTGCATAGGTCCTCGTGATGTTCTGTCAACTGCAAGAAAGGCTTCTCCATTACTTTTTCATGCATTGCTTTTAATTGCCATTTAAAACTTTTATGCTGATTATAGTCGAAACTGTAAGAAACAACTTTCAGTGTGTGTCCAGAAATCTCTGAAAGCAAGAGATGGAACTTTATGTCTGCAATGTTTTTGATGAATGAGGAAAGTTCAAATGTTGTTCTTCTAGTCTCTTAAGCTATGCTTAATTAAAGCCAAAGCTTATTTTGGTTAAATTTGAAAATCTCAACTAAAAACAAGATTACTATGTGAAATTTGGAATTATAAAAATCAACAAAACCATAAGTTGAACCAAAATTAAATGACCATGCCTTTCTCTTAATCTGATCTTTATTATCTCCCCTTGAACCATCAATCATTAGTTTTATGTATTTTTCAGGAATTATCAGTATTCAAGTCACCTGGTGAAAAGTTGGGGATGAGTATAAAAGGTGGTTCTAAAGGAACATATAATCCTGAAGAAAAGTTAGATGAAGGAATATTTATCTCTAAGGTGAGTTTGAATCTGTTGTGCTTTGCAGTACAGCCCTGATATACAATGCACATTTAAACTTTCCATTACTACTTAAATTATAAAAATGGCTAAAGTTTATTTTAACTTAAATCATTCTTACAACAGTGGTACATCAATTTATCCTCCCCCCCCCCCCCCCCCCCCTCCCCCAAAAAAAAGAAAGAAATATTTGTTTACTTGAGCATATTCTATCTTTACAATTCAGGAAAGTCTCAGACCCTATAAAAAAAGGAATCAAATTTTACTTTGGTACATTAAGGAATTTAACTGATGAGTTAAGTCTGGACTGTAATGTACAAATAATTGTGATATATGAAGAAATGGCAATATACGGTAAAAAATACAGAGAAACCAGCGCACCAACAGTACAAGATATTGAAAAATAAACATTTGTAGGTCACTATAAAAATACAAGAATGTCCACATCTATATACCATATAGCAAGTGGTTTATGAATTGTGTTCAGTAAAAAGACATAATTTGCATCATTTCTATTTATAGATCAGTAGTGATGGAGCTGTAGCTAAAGATGGTAGATTGAAAGTAGGTCAGAGAATTCTAGAGGTATGTTTCTTACAGCTAAAAGTATTGAATTACTAACTGTTAACTTGGAATCAAATTCAAAGAATCTGCAACAAAACAATTTTTATTCAGAAATGTATACAATTTAAAATCTGAATGGGCCATTAAATATCTGGGTCATCAGGTTATATATCATATATATATAATTGATGCTCAAGAAGTATAATTTCATGACCTTGACCAATAACTATTTTATGTTGCAAATAAGCTCATCATTGATACCAGGATTAAAAAAAATTACCCCAGATGCCAGTTTCGCCTACAAAATACTCATCATTGACGCTTAAATCAGAAACTTTAAAAAGGTCAAATAAATTTCGAAATCAGAGCATTGAGGCCCCAAAATTCCAAAAGGTTTTGCCAAATACAGCTAAGGTAATCTATTCCTGAGGTAGAAAATCCTTAGTATTTCGAAAAATCAAGGTGTTTTTAAACAGGTAATTTAAGATTTTGATCAAAAGGCTTTACCGGTATTTTATTTAAGGTCAACGGTACAAGTTTGATAGGAAGTACTCATCAAGAAGCTGTCCGTGCTCTTCGTAGTGTAACTGACAAAATGATCATTATGGTCTGCGAGGGGGAGGACCCAGATTCACCTAATCTTACATCACCCGATTCACCGAACGCTCCAGTACCACCAAGGTTACGAGATGGATCTGTGTCTAGCATTGACAAAGATGATGAAGACCATAACATTATTCGCAAGGTAAGATTTATGGTTGTATGTTGTGTTTATCGTGTGGTCAAATCTGTTTTAAAAGCATGATGTGTGCACGAGTCGTTGAAGCATGATCTGTAGGATTAATGTGATTATTTTATTGTGTACCATGTTTTACATGGATGAATGAGTTTTCTATGGCAGATTTTAGTTCATTTTCTAGCTTTCATTATGAAAGTTTGGTTAAAACAACATTGCTTACAGCATGTTTTACATTTTGAAGCAGAAATCAAGTGGAAAAAAATGATTTAATTCGCTATTTAGGGAAGATTTATGTATGCAATAGAAGGAAAAATTAAATGAATGAATCCATTTAGAAATGAATTACAAACCTTTGTGATAATTTTACTTTGCTGAATATATGTTTGCAAATTAAAATATATATAAAAAAAAAAACAATGAATATGAAATTTGACAAAACTTCAGGAAGCTTACCATGTTTACAGAATTTGGAACCAATCTATGGTAACCCTAATAACATTTGTGTGAGGATTTCCTTTTAATAATGTAGAGTCAATAACTAATTCGTAAACAACAATTACACCTGTATGTGAGAGCATTGATGTTTGTATTTTAGCTTTATTTACATTTGTTGCATTTTTTCTAATCATGCTTAAATCACAAAAAACTAGTAAATACTCAAATTGTGTTTAAATAGGATAAAAACTTTAAATAGAAGTCACTGGCCCAAAACTGTTTATGAATATAAAACTTTGACTCTTTTTGGTCAACATCAAATATAACAGATTTAAATCATACACATGTATACATTGCAGAATAAAACACATACATTACCTGGGCTGTTCCATTTAAGCATAGATGGTACCTATGGAAGGTACTTTCAAAATGGAGTCACCACCTATAATGTATATAGGCAAATTTAGAATTTCACATTTCTACTGTACTTGGCATCCACCCATAGTGGAGATTTCAAAGTGACTTCCCTGGATCCCATGTATGTTTTTATTGAACAGCCCTTTATAGCAAAGATCATAAATAAAATGACAATTAAGCATAAAAAAGACAAATGCTTAAAAATTATTGAGAGGTCAAGTGATTGTTCTTCCTAACATAAAAAAAACTCCCTTTGACCCAAAAAGTACTTTCTATATAAGTCCTGTAAGTAGACATAAGTTACAATATTGTAGAGCAAGAGTGACTGCACAAAAGTTATGATAGTTTGGCATGTGCTTGTTTTCTTTTTATATTGCTATTTAATATCTGACTTTTTACAACAAGTTGCTTTCTTATTCCCTCATCGTGAAATGCTTTAACCCTACACCTCACCCCATTATTCTTAGGGAAAACAAGCATGCAAAAAACCCCTGAATTTCTCATGGCAACACAAAAGCTGAAATAAAATTGGATTGTATTGATCAAACCATACTTAAATAATTTTCCATAGCTTGACTGATCTTTGAAATTCTAGAAAATTTATTTGTATTTTTCAGAAAATTTGAACAGAAAAATAACCCAACTGAAATGATTAAAATATTTGGTGTCAGTCAGGCTTTGGCTGACAAGCTTTATTTTCATTTTGATTTTGTTTGATTGTCGAGTGTTTGCATGATTTGCTTGTTAACATTTGAGTTTGCATGCTAGTTTGTTGTTGTCCACAGGAACAAGAAATGGTAAGGGAAACAGAAGAGTGGGAAAAGGAACAACTAGAATCAAAGGTTTGCAACAGACTTAATATCAATCATTTACGCTACTACAGAAGTGACAGAGATTTATAAGTTCTTACAGTAGTCTATATTTAGATTTTCTATGACTGAAAGAAATTAGAATCAAATGAAGCAATCTTGCAACAGTTAAATCTGTTAATAAGTTTCAAGTACAGTCAAACCAGTATATACATGTAAAGGTCACCCTCATGACCAGAGAAAACGGACCTTAAATAAAAGAGGTGACCTTTGAAATGAAGTTCAAAATGCACAGATATTGCTACAATTTGAAATAAAAGAGAGTGGATTGACAAGACAGGTTTTTGCTTAAAAAAATTGATATTTAAAGCAGGTTTGACTGTATTTAGAATGTCCATTGTGATGATTTTATCAGTACCTTTGTACTTTTACCTTAAAATCTTGCATTTAAATGCAATATTGTTATTTTCATATGAAGTTATGACTATTGATCCATGGATGTCAGCAGATCTATTCTATATACAATTATATTTGGTCTATATTTTGTGAAAAATTATATATCTTCCATTGAAAAACGATCTTTGTTTTTACAGGCTATTGAAGTTGTGAATAATATTTTCTTGTATGGGGTAAAGTTATTTAAACAGAATTGACAGCTAAACTATGCTTGCAATTTTGATGAATTCATCAAATTTATAAGCAGTAAAAGAGTAAATTTTAAAACTTCTGAATAGCTAATAAGTCCCATTTTATATTTAAGAAATTAATAATTAGATTTTGTATATTTAACCAAGACTCAGAGAGGTGTTTTCAATTTATTTATAGCAACAACAGAGAAAAGACGCTCAGATTAAACCAGGTACAGAAATTTCTCCTAGCAAGATACCTAAAGCAAAAGTTGATCCCAAAATAGTAAGTGTTTATGCCCCGCCTATTATACATGGGGCATTAGGGCTATTCCATTAAAATGTATGTGGGAGGGTAGGAAGGGAAGTTTAATTATTGAATGTGGGTCATGGGTCTTTTTTCAGTATTCGACTATTACCATTATGCAAAATTATTTAAAAAATGGTTGTTGGTTGTAGGGATATTTTGAAAGTCCCTTCCTACCCTCCCACATATATTTTAATGGAATAGTCCTTATGTTTTCTAGTCTATACATAAATGTGTGTGTTAGTATTTCTTTTCGTCCTCTTGTGTTTTGAACTTTTAGAATAAATGCCAAATTTGTTTACCCAGATTTCCCAGTTTACAGAACGAGGAGATGTGATAGTATGAGTGGTGCATGGTATCCATTTGACACATTTTCTTGTTTATATTGAAACATAGTCTTGATATATCAGAATACTCAATTTTGATAAAAAAAAATTTAAACAAGATGTTTTCCAATGTTGCAGTGACAATAGAAAAAAAATGTAAAATGTCACGAAAACAATCCTTTTTGATTTGTAACTTTTAATCCAAAATAAAAGTTTTAGTAAACAAACTGGATTTTGATACACGCCTTTTCTAAAGAATTGAAATCAGCATTAAATATCAAATTCAATTTTACTTGTGATAAAAGATAAGAATAAATTTCTTTTCAGAATACTGGTTCTGTGATTAATCAAGTGCCTCCAGATCAAAAATCTAACCCTCCAGATGTCATTCCTGTGGTAAGTCATCAGATTTGTTGTCACATCCAGCCAAACAAATGTTTGCTTTATGCAGTCTATTTTGCTGGGTTTGAAAATAAAAGGCCTGTAGTCTGAATTCCTTTTGTTTCTTTTTATTTTCCACTGGTGCTGTGTATATTTAGTTTGGATAGACTTTGCTTTTTGAAATATTAGTTTTTCATTTTCATTTCTTTATTATATATTTATTTACTTATGTATTAATTATTAATTAATGTATGATTGAATAGTATAATTTCTGGTAATTGTTCTTACACTTATTCGAAAGAACTTGCTCATCACTTTTCTTCCACTTTTTCACTACCTAATATTTTTTCTGGCAAAGCATTTTTTTTTTATTTCTTTATTCTAGATAGAACTAGACTGTATTTGACTATTTCATTTAACAGACACATTTAGGGAATGGGAATAGCAAATACATGTAATAGTAATTACAAAAAAAAAATATGAAAATTATTGTACGAATTAATTAAAAAGAAATATACTCAAATTTCAACAAAGTGTAAAAAAAAGAGTAATTACAGTTTTGAGTGAAATTTCAAAATTGTTTTGGAGATTAAAATGATTGTTTAAAGCATGGACATTTTCTGTTCTTTTTGCATGTGTTTTTTTCTGCATGTGACTGGTTTGTCTTATTTATATAGACACCTGTGAAAACTGAACAGATACCTGTCCACTCTGACCAACCTGTCCATTCTGATCAAACTCACGTAAAGCGACCACCTGTTCCTCCAAAACCCCTGGCAAAACATGAAGAATTAAATATTTCATCTAGAATTCCTACAGTCAGCCCTGTTAGTCCAGCTAAGCAGGAGGACTTGACAGCAAGTGTGATCAAACATTCCAGAATTCCAACAGCCAAAGTGGCTTTCATGGGTATGGAGGAAAGCTTCGATGAGAAATCATCGCCTGGTACTTCACCAAAGCATGATAATTTGACTGCAAGTGTAATCAAACAGTCACGAATACCAATGGCAAAATCTCCATCTTTAGCAAAAGAAGATAGCTTAGGCGAGGATTCATCAATGAAATCAAACACGCCTTCACCGCCATCTAAAATAGACACTGATACTGCTAAGATATCCCGTATTCCAATGGCATCACCGCCACAAAGTGCAAGAGACAGTAAAACAAACCTTGACATTGTAAAACAGTCTCGGATTCCTGCCGCCAAGTCTCAAGATTCAGATGATCCAATTAAACAATCTCGTTTACCAACTGCCAGACTGTCGAAGCCAGAACTTCCATCTAAACCTAAAGTACCGAACAAACCTACAAATATCGGTGGACAATCTTCTTCCCTTGATGCTATTAAACAATCGCGACTTCCTGCAGCCAAACAGGTTGAAATTAAGGTATTGTCTTTATTATATAATGGCCAACAACAGTCTTGGTTCAGGCAGGTATCACTGATTTTTTAACAAAAATACAAACATCTGGCGGATAGTTGTCTCAGTGGCAATTACACCACATCTCCTTAGTTTGATGCTACCTCCATTTAATTATAGGTAGATGAGATTTGACAATGCTATAGTTATATTAAATGAACAAGCATTGGTTAAGATTGACTGCATTAGTTTTCTGTTGTGTGAAATTACAGTAGTTTTGTGAACTTTGTGCATGGCAGTAATTAAAAGCTTTGTTGTATAAGTGAAAGATGGTGTTATGATGTACATGTATGAAATGTTAACTGTTGCTATCAGAAGGCTTAAAAAATCAAGATGAAATAGATGTTCTATTCCTGTATGTTGCATCGCATTAAGTTTAGTTGTTATTATGGAAAATCTATAGTTATGAGCAGATGTTATATTTCTCTAAGATGTGATAAGAGATTAATTTTATATACTTAACCTTAATTCTCAAGTTTAAATATTCTGTGATGTTTACTGTGTAAGACCTGCGATGTTAAATGTGTAGGAGAACCTATTAATTTGTGATTGGTCACGAAAATTTGCATGTTGAGTCACCAGTCTTTCCTTAGGGCTTTTTCATAAAACACATACATGGGACCCTGGGAAGGCACTTCAAAATCTCAACTATGGGTGGGTGTAATCTATGTTTTTGCATAGTAGAAATGTAAAGTGAAATTTTTATGGTTATCCCATTTTTAAAGTGCCTTCTATGGGTACCATGTATGTTTCAATGGAACAGCCCTTAACTTTTCACAAGATTTTGCCTGCCTAGAATTGCATCCCTCTTTCTGTTTTCTTTGAAAGTTGCTTGTATATTGTAATTTTTCTGTGACCAGATTTTTATTTAATGAACTATATTTTGGCAGACACCAACTTCACCAACCTTGCCTCCTCAGATTGAGCATGGTGAAGATTTGACATTTAAGCTGAAGAAGAAATATTTTGAAAAAGAGATCAAGGAACATACTGAAGAAAAACCATCAGGTAATTAAGCTGAAGCAGTTTCTGATTGGCTGTTATTCGGTTTCAGACTGAAGCCATTTCTGATTGGCTGTTACAGTTTCAAACTTAAGTCATTTCTGATTGGCTGTTACAGTTTGAAACTGAAGTCATGTCTGATTGGCTGTTACAGTTTGAAACTGAAGCCATTTCTGATTGGCTGTTACAGTTTCAAACAGAATCAGTTTCGGATTGGCTGTTACAGAGTTTCTTGGTACTATTTACAAAAAAAAAATCAAGTTGAATTAGTATGTAATTTTTATTTCAGTGCATCAAGCAAAAATGTATAACAAATGCTCAAAAGAAATTAAGAGTATTTGTCAATATTTTAACTCAGCATTTAACATGTCTTTATAAATGCCTATTAACTTTTTAAAGATTTCTTCCATTTAACCAAGCTTGTCTTTCTTTGAATGTAACATTGCTTTATGATACTAGAATTTAGGCTAGCGATAATATTTTTTCTGACTTCTATGTAATGTCGTACTGTGAGATGTTCTATATATATAAATATATTTTTATAGTGAAAAAGAAAATAGTTCTCCCGACTGAAACAGGTAAAATTGTGTGACATCTAGGAGCAAAATAAGTGTAGATGCAAATGATACATCATTCTGCCTTCATAATCAACATGTTGGTCATACCATGTTGGTAAACACATCATGATTCAGGGAGAAATTTGCCTCACAGTTAAACTATTTGAGTGTGTGGAATAAACGAGTTTGATTTGCATTGTGAAATAGATATTAAAATGTCGTATTCACCCAGTTTTGTCAATATAACTTAACAATAAACAACTGTCATACAAGTGGAAGGTTTAGCTAGCTATAAAACCAGGTTTAACCAGCATTTTCTCAAAAAAATCCCTGTACCAAGAATATGACAGTTGTTGTTCACCAATTCCATTAATTGATAGCGTTTTATTTTTGTCAGTTTTTATGGACTTCCACTTTTTGAATTCTGTATTTTTGTTTTACTTTTTTGAATGAGCATCAGTTATCGTTATCATGCAATCAACTAATGGTTGTATATTCACTAGTGCTAGCATAAACAATGGTTAGTAAACCATTGGGCATATATATAGCAAGCTGTAATTCATATTTACACACTCAGATATTTTAGCTGTGAATAATTATTTTAAGTTTTTTTTTTTTTTTTTTTTTTTTACCAATATTTTAATTTGGGAAAGGGAGAATAATCTTTTTACAGAATGTTGATGACTGTGGTTTAACAGTGACAGGGATACTTCATTATTTGTTCTTTCTGAATCATGATGCGATAAGCACAACCCGAAATTTGAAAGCTTCACAAACATGTCACAAGAGTGTGTTTTGCTAGTTGTAAGCATGATTTCTTTTGACTGAAATTTTTTTTATTAAATTTGTAATGATGATACATTGGAATGTACAAGAATTCACACTTTTCAGTGAGATAGATTCTAATTCACAGGACTTTATAGGTATACCCTTTTTATAGGTATATCCTTTGATGACAAAATTTTGAAAAAAATGTCTACCATTTTAATAGTAAATTTCTGTTTCATTTTAATTAAGAATTATTTTTTTATTTTATTAAAATAAGTTTATAATTGAATATACCTGAATTGTTCAAAAAATTGTCAAAAAAAACCCCAACAAAATTTTAAATGTATTTTTCAACAGTTACTGTAAATTATAAAAAATGTTAGAATAGGGGTAACAAGTTTGGGTCAGCAGTGATATCCATTTAATATTTTGACCTAATAGAGATATTGGTACTGGCATGACTTTTATACATTAGTCCTTTTAATTATTTTAATGTATTGGATATAAATTTGTACATGTATCTGTTCATTGACAAGTATTACAAGACATGCTCAAAAGTTCTCATGCATACAGTATTTTATCCAGAACAGATTTGATAAACCTTAATTTGTTATTATTCTTGAGGTGCATAGTTCTGTTTAGAATTGGTTTCTTTTATCAAGGAATTGGAATCTATTTAGTGGCAAACATTTGTAAAATATTTTTGCTACCGTATTTGTGCAAGTATTATACACACTTTTTTTTTTACCAAAGACATAATTGGTAGAGTGGATGCATATTTAATAGACACAACTTAGATTGAAGACGTTATTTTTTTTTTTAATAGATAATAATGTTTTTTTTCTTCATAGAATGAAGTAATGTTACTTACATGATAAAAGCTCTACCATTCCATTGTTTATGACTCTAAATTAATTGATTAAACAAAAATATTACAAAAAGTATTTAATTTAACAAACAAAAATACATATTATTGGTTATCTTTTAATAGACTTTAATGAAGATTAAATAAATGATTTATAATTTCCTAATGTAGGCTATTTACAGTAAGCTAGACTTTGTACACAAAATGGGGGGATGAAAAAGGTGTATGTATTATACACAAATGTGTACTATACAGTGCCAAATAAAACACTATATTAAAAATTCTATAGAATTTATCATAAAACATACAGAACTATGCATTGTAGAATAATGGCAAATTGTTACTAATAATGCATCAATAACTCACATATTTTGCTTGACCGTGGCACTTTTTCTCGGAGAAAATTGTTAAGATTTAACAACTCCCACAAATATTTAACAGGGTGAAAAAAATGTACAAAATATTTTCCTGCAGTATTAAGTGAGTATTAAAAGATAAGCATTGAAGAACATTAATTCTACAACAAAACAATAATGATGCCAAAACTGATTGAATAAATTCATAACAACATCAGATAACATTAATTTTAAAGAGACCTTAGAAGCCTTGTGTACAGCTTTCGAAAAAATACTTCAATATTTTGTAAATTTGATGACTTATCTTTTATAATCAATTGGTCTTTTGAATTTAATGAATATTAGAACTAACGAATGAAATACTCAAACTGGTCTTACAGAAGAAAAAGAATTTTTTGCCTTCCACAGTATAATGATTGAGCTATTGAATGTTTATTAACAATTATATTATATTATATGCATGCTTGAATTTAATGAAAGTTTAGAAAACTGTGTCTATTGATCTACTGCAACCATTCATATTCGTCGAGGAGATTGAAACAAGAATTGGTTTGGGGGAGGGATTGAAATTAATTTGTAGCATTTACTGGCCGTGTACAAAAAATAATAACTTTTCTGCATAAATTACTGTTAATTCAGATAGTGTGCATTTGTAATTGTGATTTTTGAGCAATTGACAAAAATGAGAGAATGATTGAGATTCAAGAAATGCTATCAAAATTTAAAATGGGAAATCTGTCAAGTCAAAATTTTTGCAATAATAAAAACATCTAAAAAAAATTTAAAATTTACAGTTATCAAATTCAAACTGTGAAAAAAATATAGAAATAAAAGCTTTATAAATCAAATATACAAATACAACTTTAAAGATTTGAGTGGACGGAGTCTGCTGATGAACTTGCAATAGATCAATAGACACTTGTACTTGCTTGGCTATTTATAACTAACCTAGCTAACATTATTACAGCTAAGAAGTTTCAATTCTGGTCACAGCATGAGTTTGAGAAAATGAAAGAGGCTGAAGGTATATACAACTGTATGAATTGTTTAACATATACAGAAATATTAGTGAGGAATAAATGATTACTGGGGATTTATATTATTAATTCTCATGGTTACTAATTTTTTGTTAGCAAAACTGGTATTTTCGTGGATAATTGATTTCATCATTATGCCAAATTCTGCATACAAGCCTATAAAAAATGTATACTTCTTTGAATGTTATCTTTGTGGCTTAACGATCTCACAAAATAAACAAAAATTGGTATTCAAAGAAAATAATGAATCCACAGTATATAGTAATGTAATTCTAATCTTTACACTGTTGAATATCACTAGGATCATGACCTTTGACATGCATCTGAAATAGCCATTAAGTCTCTCTGCTAAATGTATAAATGTTCTTAAATTTTCCCAGATAAGGCATATTTACTTTTGAGAACAACTTTAACATATTTAATCTGTTCTAATTTTTTTATGCCCCCTAACGTAGTGGAAGGGGCATTAAGTTTTACCCTTGTCCATACGTACGTACGAACGTAAGTACGTCCCAAAGTTGGTTTCTGTTCTCTAACTTTAGTTTGCCTCAACCAAATGTTATGAAACTTATACAAAATGCTTATTACCACAAAAAACAGATCAAGTTTGAATTTTGGTGGCGTCACTTTATCCGTTCTAGAGTTATGCCCCTTTACAAATGGAAAAATTGCTGAATTTTTTGTTTCCGTTCTTTAACTTTAGTTTGCCTCAACCAAATGTTATGAAACTTATACACAATGCTTTTTACCACAAAATACAGATCAAGTTTGAATTTTGGTGGCGTCACTTTAACAGTTCTAGAGTTATGCCCGTTTTCAAATGGAAAAATTCATCTGGAAAAATTGATGAATTTTTATACGCCCGTTTATGGGACGTATTATGGTATACCGTAGTCAGTCCGTCCATCCGTCCGTCTGTCTGTTCGTCCGTCGTCAACATGTCGGACGTTAACTTGAAAACGCTTCAACCAATTTGCATAAAACTTTGTTGAATTGTTCATATCTATTGATGTGAGCTCCCTTTCGTTTTTTTTTAAATTTAGATTTTACGTTTCTGAGTTATGGGGTTTTATTCATTAAAAAAGGGGGGATTTTCAAGTTTTCGGACAATAACTCAAAAATGCTTTCACCAATTTGCAAGAAACTATGGTCAATTGTTTATATCTATTGACATGAGCTCCCTTTTGATTTTTATAAATTTTAGATTTTATGTTTCCGAGTTATGGAGTTTTATTCATTAAAAAAAAGGGGGGATTTTTCGGACAATAACTCAAAAATGCTTTCAGCAGTTCTCATGAAACTTTGGAGAATTGTTTACATGTATATCTATTGATGTGAGCTCCCTTTCAATTTTTATAAATTTTAGATTTTACACTTCCGAGTTATGGAATTTTATTCATAAAAAGGGGTGATTTTCTAGTTCAAGGACAATACCTTTAAAGTGCTTTGAGCAGTTTTCATTAAACTTTGGTTACTTGTTTATATCAATTAAGATAACCTCCCTTTAGTTTTTCACAAATTTCTTATATGACATTGAGAAGTTATTGAACTTTATTCGTAATAAATGTGACAGGGCGTATCATGCGCTCATGGCGCAGCTGTTTATTCTTTTCTGTTCTCTAACTTAAGTTTGTTTCAACCCAAATGTTATGAAACTTATACACAATACTTATTACCACAAAACTCAGATCAGGTACACATTTGGGTAGTGTCACTTTTACCATTCTTCAGTTATGTCCCTTTATAACTTTATATGATATGCAAGCAGGTGCATCATTTGTGTCCCATGGACACATTCACCATTTATTTTTTCATCTTTCAGATAGAATTATTTGCCTAATTCATACATTTTTTTCTGCCAAGATATCTTATAAATATCTTGATGTGTGCCCATGGTTGTTTAAATGTTTGTACTGTTTCTGTATTTTGCCTTGATAGTGTTGTTCAATTGTTAGATGTTTTGTCTGTCATAGTCTTTAATTTGTTGATTTTTTGTATGCCTCCGCGCAAATATGTAGTAATGTCCATATCTTGCAAAGAACTACCTCAAACTTAGTTCTAGGAGGTGTCTCCTGCTCCTTGTTGAAGGCTTCATTGTGACTGAGAGGAAGAACTACAATAAAAGCACTGTTCCTTTGCTTTGGTTTTGTCAAGTGTGTGAAGGGATTTTGTATCTTCAAATATGACACCATATCCCTTGAATTTCATTAATATTTAATTCTGTGCTTAAAAACAATGCATGATATATAAAGTTAAGTCTGTTTTTAATTTGAAAGCCAGATTTCTAGACTTTACAGCTATCAAAAATAACAAAAGATGAAACCTAATTAAACTATAAATGTTTCTAAATCATCCAAAATTGTGATTATTTGCAGTGGAAAGAGCTGATTTTGTGCTGAGTTGCGGTTTGTTAGTGTATAAATTTTGGATTTCACTTATAGCAATGGTGAAGCATGTCTCAATAAGTAAATTATAGACATATTGTATACTTTTCACTTTCCATATCCTTTAGAATGTAATCAGTGAAAAATGAGAGAACATTTTAGGCAAGATAATTTAAGCCATTAGGCAATTAGAAATGATATGTCAATTAGATAGACAGCTGCATAGTAACAAAATCTGTGGTAATTTAAAGTTTTTTCTACTAAATCAATGACCATTGATTAAAATAGTCTGTTAAATATTCGCTGTTCAGTTTCTTCCTGTTGATTGAATGTAAAGGTCATGATCCTTCCCATTCTTTCAATTCCTACATTATTCATAAGAAGCCAGCGTAGATATTAAAAAAAAATCTAAAATTATGTCTTGTTCATATGAAGCTAGCATGAATATTTGTTTTGAATTCTAACAAATAATCTACTCTTAATTGTTATGTATTATATTTATTTTCATCTGAAAAGTAAAAATAATTGCAATGGTCTGTTTTACCTTAATTTGCAACCTTTAGAATTCTTTTCTCAAAATTCTAATATCCTTGACCTCTGACAGGCACAAATTGGAGTCACTGAAATAAAACAATACCTTAAAAATTGCTTGTATTTTTTATGTTGAAACAGCAAATATTTTAAGTCCCAATTTGATTAAGAATAATTAAAGAAAAAGAAAAATTCATTTTAAAATCCCAGACTTACCGAAATATTATTTATTACAGAAAAGAAAGTAAATAGTATGACGACAGAGGAGCTGGTATCTGATGTCACTAGTCACGTCAACTCTCACGATGATTACGAGGGCGAGATTACAAGGTAAATAGGTCACGTCAACTCTCACGATGATGATTACGAGGGTGAGATTACAAGGTAAATAGGTCATGTCTACTCTCACAATGATGATAACGAGGGTGAGATTACAAGGTAAATAGGTCATGTCAACTCTCACGATGATGATTACGAGGGCGAGATTACAAGGTAAATAGGTCCTGTAAACTCAACGTCACTTGTTGATTTTGACAGGTACATTATATTGATATGTCCAATCAATTCATTATACCCCCCTTTAAAAAAGTGGGGTATACTGTTTTACCTCTGTCTGTCCGTCCATCCGTCAGTCCATCCATCAGTCAGTCCGTCCGTCCGTCCGTCCGTCCGTCCCTCCCATGAATATTTTCGTCACATCTTTCTCAGGAACTACATTACAAAGATTTCTGAAATTTGGTTTCAGGGTTTATATAAGTCATCTATACCGTGTGATGCGTTTTCAGATTCATCACTCGACAACTTCCTGTTTACCGAAATATTTGGGCGGGGTATCATTAGTGAGCAGTAGCTCGCAGTTTCACTTGTTTGTCAAAATCTCTAGGATTGTGGGTAACTTCATTGTTTGTACACCAAATTTAAAATGATATGCCAAGGTGTTGGACATCCATTGCTTAGTATGTTGTTAACCAATCACAAAAGTTGTGTTGTATTTTGAAAATATATCCCAGAATGCATTACATTCTAAAATGAAGTATTACAAAGGTAAGTTATTTAAGCTAGTCATTTCAGCTAGTATTAAATATGATAGTGAAAGAAAAAAAAACTAGCATTGTGTAGTAAATGCATGCATATATTTGTAGTTACAGTTTTCTTTCACAAGATAAAATATTTCAGCCATTAAGATCCGGTTTATAATCAAATGACATTTGAGAATCTACAAGGTCAAAAACCATTTTAAAATACAAACATCTCAAAAATGATGTACGTTTGTGGGGAAAATATCTAATTACATAGTAAAGAGTTATAACTAAAATATCATTTTATTTTTGCATTTAAAAATAAAATGATATTTTAGTTAATTACAATGAAATGGCATGATATTTGAGCAGTCATATCAAGTTTTTAAAAAATGAAGTAGATTGCAAGCATTCAAGAGTTGGAGCGGATTCCATACAGTAACAATGCTTGTCTTTAATTTGGGAACAAAGTGTGAGTGCTAGTTCAAAAATTGTAGACAGTCATGCAACAGGAAACATGGATATTTCTTTATTTTACTAAATGACCTTTAGTAAACTGCCCAGCTTGTCCATCAAAAGTGAAACCCAAGTAGAAATTCCTTTAATGGGTATTGGAGTTGTGTCCCTTAGAAAATGATAATGAGGCTAATTCTTATTAATTGGAAAGCTTACAAATGAGGTAGTATAATCATTTGGAGTGGCATGTATCTTGTAACATTGTTAACTATACAACTGCTTGCTCAGATGTGGTCTATATATGTGTTCAGTAATGTGTGCATTACATTTGTGTGTAATTGGAGAGAAGGGAATCTTACATTAACACACACGTCTTTTCAGACATTTCTATCGCCGCGATATAGCCTTGTTGTGCGTAAAGCAACCAACAATCAATCAATCAATCAGACATTTCTACACATTTTTTTATTATTTCAGAATTCAATGTAAAGTTTAACCTTTTCAAAGATTTTATTTAAAATACTATTTAGAAATTTAGCGACATGGAATAAACATTTGATCTAATATTGATGTCATTACAGAAAAACTTATAAAAAGCTTATTGATTTAAATTGATTCATATGAAATATCATGTTGTGTGTGCAAATGTAATTGTAATGAGCGCAAATGTAATGCATCTTCTGTAATAACTGAATTTATTATGAAGTAAACCATTGTAAACTGGAATATATACTAGTCTATCGTGATTGTTACCTTCTTTTAAATAAAGGGGCAACATTTTTTGATTGTTACCCTTCTTTTGAATAAGGGGCAACATTTGGTTGTTTTTTTTTGACTGCTAAGAAAAATCAAATTTTAATATTTAGTGTTGTAAATGATTTGAAATTTTATATTTGAATCCTTGATTGACATCATTAAAAATTGATGTTGTTGGGTTGCTTTCTTATTTACATGTTATCCCACATCTCCTCTTAGTTATATAAGTGTCAAGAACAACTGATGATTTCCTAAATTTAGTACTGATATTATTTTTCATATAACATTTCAGAGGAGATATTTTATGTATAATAAAGAGCAATAGAGTGCTCCTTAGCACAGAGGAGATATTTCAGATATTAAAATATTAGATTTCAGAGGAGATATTTTATGTGTAATACAGTGCACCTTTTGCTGAAGGGAATGTTTGATAAAGGGAGATAAATTGCACAAATGTTTAGCTTTTAGTGTTGTCTGTCTTGTGTACTCCCAGTGTTATGTCTGTTTTATGTTTTGTGATCATTTGATGGCCAATGTTAGAATTGAATTTTTAGAAGTAAAAATTTAAATTTGAAATTGTTTGAGTTATCTATTACCATAAATTTCTGATTTTATATTAATTATTAAACTAAATATCACTGAAATTAAAGAAAATTTAAAAAATAAACATTTATTATTGCACGTCAAGGATAATTGCATGCTTGTTGCATGATACTGGTAAAGTTCAACTATAATTCTATTCTTAAATGCATGACTAAGAATTATTGAAAAAGAAAAAAAACCTAAGTAAACACTAAAAAAGATGTTATATTTATTCATCAGTAAAATTGAATTGATGGTGAAAATTTGTTTTGGTAATTAAAGAAGAGTTATTAAAAATGAAAATTTTGTTCATGTAGTCCATCCAGAATACCTGTGCGGACACTTAAAGCTGAAAAACGCATGCAGGATCGTCTCGAACAGGAAGGACTTGAAGCGCCATCTACAGAAGACAAAAAATTATCTCCTGCTGAAGAGAGGGCGCTCCAAGCAGAGAAAAGGGCAGCATGGCGTGCCGCCAGGTGTGGCTTTTAAGTTGTTGTGATCTTAGAAATTGAGATTTGGTGAACTGATTAAGAGCTTTATCATAAATAATTACATTATTGCTACTAAGTAACAGCTTCAATTATAAGGCATAAAAATACTTTATTAATTAACAGAAATTTTCTCACCAAAACATGAACATGTGCTCGGAATTTTTTTCTGTTATTATTTTAAAGGATAAATTCAGTTTAACTTAAAAAGAAAAAGAACAAATCCGGCACATTTTCATAAAAATAATAAAATCTTAATATATATATAAGTCTTTCTAATGTCACAAATGATCAATGTGTGCTTGTATCTGCAAGATTTTCATCTACATTGTTCTGTTTTTGTAAAGTGATTCTGGGGTGGGGAGGATGTTAAGATTTACTGGGCATGAAGAAAAAATTACTTTATAAAGTACATGTGACAATTTATATATTTAGAAATAAGAGTTTCTCAACAGCTATGATATCATTATAGAATTTTCAAATAGTCACTCAGTCTCTCATTTATAATCAAAATTTCTGTCTAGACGTAACAGTTATTGGATCAACTTGAATGAAAATCTTGCATGATTGTAATACTATATCCTCTGTGTTTAGTTTGCTAACAACACTTATAACACTAACTACACAATTTAACACTTAATATACATGTGTAACTAGAAACTCAGTATTGCACATTTGTAGCTAACAAAGTCTGTCTAGATCAATAATATCAGAAGTCTTATGACCTGTAGTATTGCAACTCACCTTGTTGCTGTTTCAGAAGTCTAGGTTTCAAGGACAAAGTGAACTTTATACATATGACTTAGCACCTGTTGTCAATGTATGTTAAGTGCTTCTTTCAGATTGAGGCACACATGTCTGATAATGCATTAAGATGGGGAAGGATATCTTAAAGGGTAAAAATCCACTGAAACAGGTTCAGATTTTGTAGGAAATCACCACTGAGACAATGTACCAAATGGGATACATTAAATTATTAACATTCACAGGAACAGGTCATGGTTTTATAGGAAATCTCCTCTTAGAAACTATACCACATACCATGCATCTGAAGTCTGACCTTGATCGTGTCTGACCATGACCTCATATTCAAATAATTGATTTTTATGCCCCCGCTGTAGTGGAGGGGGCATTAAGTTTTACCCTTGTATGTACGTACGTACGTCCCAAAGTTGGTTTCCATTCTCTAACTTTAGTTTGCCTCAACCAAATGTTAAGAAACTTATACAAAATGCTTGTTACCACAAAACGCAGATCAAGTTTGAATTTTGGTGGCGTCACTTTACTTGTTCTAGAGTTATGCCCTTTACAAATGGAAAAATTGCTGAATTTTTCGTTTCCGTTCTCTAACTTTAGTTTGCCTCAACCAAATGTTATGAAACTTATACACAATGCTTATTACCTCAAAATAAAGATCAAGTTTGAATTTTGGTGGGGTCACTTTAACTGTTCTAAGGTTATGCCCCTTTACAAATGGAAAAATCGCTAAATTTTTCGTTTCCGTTCTCTAACTTAAGTTTGCCTCAACCAAATGTTATGAAACTTATACATAATACTTATTACCACAAAACTCGGATCAAGTACAAATTTTACCATTCTTCAGTTATGTCCCTTTATAGATTTATATGATATGCAAGCGGGGACATCATCTGTGTCCCATGGACACATTCCCCATTTATTTGGAAACATTTTCATATCAAACCATGTACAATGCAATTCTAAAACAACCTTTCTAGCACAACATAGGTTTTGTACCTTGTTTCCTTCATATAAATGTTGAATATCTTGAAACAGCTCAGATCCAAAATGTTAATCCATATTTATATATATATATTTATAATCCAAACAAGTTGGAAGGATTACACTTTCATTTTTTGTTGGAAGATTTCCACCCATTAAGCCATGAATGAGTTTGATAGTTCGAAAAAATTATATGGGGGACATGTTTTAAGATCCTCTTTAAATTTGGATGAAATTATCAAAGATCAAAATATCCCATATTAATTTATATTGCCATGATAGGGCCTGGATTTACATGGAAGCTTATTAAAAATTCGTGAAGTTATCTTACTGCAAAACAATATATATTTTGCATGAAAAATTGAACTTGTGCAAGATTGTGACTTAGATCCTCTGGTTTAATTTGTACAACAGAATGTTAAAGATCATCATGATTTTAATCAGTCCACTGCAAGAAAAGGACAAACTTGCTAGTGGTTATCTTCATGTAGCACTGTTCAGTCAATCAAACAATGGGATGACATTTCATTCTCTTTTTCCTTAGATATACAGTCAAACCTGTATTAAGCAGTCACTCATGGGAAGTATCAAAAGTGACCGCTCAAGAGAGGTGACCTTTTATATGAGGGTTGGAAAAAAATTCCAATTCCAACATCACACGTGGCCGGGATGGGGGCAAATTGGTTGAGTGTTTTCAATCGAAAGAGTTATCGTTTGTACGAGTAGACAAATAAAAAATGGAGTATTTCGACGCTCTTGTTTGAAGATAACATTTGAAATAGTAAATAATCGTGGAGAAATAAGTTGATAATACGGTTTTCAATGTAGACTGAAAGGAGTGGAACACTAGAAATAACCTCCTACTGCGTGATCTTGGTTGATAATGGGTTCTGATTCACATTTTGGCCTCTATACTAAACATATATTTTGCGTTATTAAGATATTTGCTTGTTAAAAACATGAAAATGACTGTTGTTAAAAGGTGAAATGACGATTTTGTATGAAAATTAGGTGACTGCTGACAGAGTTAAACAGGTGATCGCTGAAAAGAGTTAATTTATATACAGAAAACATTTGGGAGGGTTTGAAAGTGATTGTTAGAGGCAGGAGACTGCTGAAACGAGGTGACCGTTAAGGCAGGTTTGACTGTAACTTGAAAAAGTCAAAGTTTAGCTAAAATAAGGTATTTGTTTTTTTCTTTAAGATTATTTCAATTTTTGTCATGTTGGGGCCCTTTGCAGCTCACTATATGGTATGGGTTTTGCTCTTTGATATAGATCCTACCACATCTTCTTATTAGTCCCCTACCAACGAAGTCGATGGGGACTTTAGGGTTGCACTCCATCCATCTGTCCGTCTGTCCATCCGTCAGTCCGGCAAATCAGCTTTCCACACTTTTTTTCTTCATTCTTGAAGATATTGATTTGATATTTGGTATATAGTTTTATTATGACAAGTTATAGATCAAGTACGAATTTTGTTCCAGTCTGATGATTTAGTCCAGAGTCTGGACCATATCTAATGTTAGAGTACTATGTTAAACCATATTTCTGTACAAAGGGAGACAACTCATTTTTATACGACCGCAAAAATTAAAAATTTTTTGGTCGTATATTGGTATGACGTTGGCGTCGTCGTCGTCGTCGTCATCGTCTGGCGTCGTCCGAAGACACATTGGTTTTGGCACTCTAACTTTAGTTTAAGTGAATGGATCTCCATGAAATTTTACCATAAAGTTCAATACCACGAAAGGAAGGTTGGGATTGATTTTGGGGGTTATGGTACCAACAGTTAAGGAATTAGGGGCCAAAAAGGGGCCAAAAATACGCATTTTTGTAACTTCCAGACAATAACTTGTGTGTAAGTGTATGGATCTCTCTGACATTGTACCACAAGGTTCCATATCACAAAGGAAAGGCTGTAATTGATTTTGGGGGTAATTGCCTCAAAATTTTAGGAATTAGGGGCCAAAAAAGGGGCAAAAAACAAGCATTTTTCTAGTTTCATGACAATAACTTGTGTGTAAGTGTTTGGATATTTCTGAAATTGTACTACAAGGTTCCATATCACAAAGGGAAAGCTGGAATTGAGTTTGGGGGTAATTGCCCGAAACGTTTAGGAATTGGGGGCCAAAAAGGGGCCAAAAATAAGCATTTTTCTAGTTTCCAGACAATAACTTGTGTTCAAGTGTATGGATCTCTCTGAAATTGTACTGCAAGGTACCATACCACAAAGGGAAGGCTGGGATTGAGTTTGGGGGTGATGAATCATAAGGGGGTTCAAAAAATTTGGGGGGGGGGATTTTTTTTTTTTCTTTTTTTTTCTTTTTTTCCTTTTTTTTTTCTTTTAAAATTTTCTATTTTAAGTTGGTTATTTCTGATTAATATTTAAAAGCAAATAATAATGATATGGTAGGAGATACACACCAAACAGGATGTGTAAATTATTATCTAATAAGTATTGTGCAATAGCAAGAAATTTTCAATTGCACAGTATTGCACAATAGCAAGAAATCTTCAATTGCACAGTATTGCGCAATAGCAAGAAATCTTCAATTGCACAGTATTGCGCAATAGCAAGAAATATCCAATAGCACAATATTGCGCAATAGCAAGAAATTGTCAATTGTACAGTATTGCGCAATAGCAAGAAATATTCAATTGCACAGTATTGTGCAAAAGAAGATACTTCGTATAAATTGCTTATTTCTTGATCAATTTCAATGGGGTTTTATTCTTGAATTCTTGGGGTTCTTTAATATGCTGAATCTAACCGTGTATTAAGTTTTTGGATTTTGGGCCCCGTTTTTAAATTGGTCCACATTGAGGTCCAAAGGGTCCAAAATTTAACTTTGTTTGATTTCATCAAAAATTGAATTATTGGGGTTCTTTGATATGCTGAATTTAACCGTGTATTTAGATTCTTAATTTTTGGTTCCGTTTTCAAATTGGTCTACATTAAGGTCCAAAGGGTCCAAAATTAAACTTAGTTTGATTTTAACAAAAATTGAATTTTTAGGGTTCTTTGATATGCTGAATCTAAACATGTATTTAGATTTTTGATTATGGGCCCAGTTTTTAAGTTGGTCCAAATCGGGGTCCAAAATTAAACTTTGTTTGATTTCAACAAAAATTGAATATATGGGGTTCTTTGATATGCTGAATCTAACCATGTATTTAGATTTTTGATTTTTGGGCCCCGTTATCAACTTTGTCCACATTGAGGTCAAAAGGGTCCAAAATTTAACT